GTAGGTGTTCGATCAGTCATGGGTCGAAGGTTGTTAGATGTCGTCAATCCAGGAGAGCGTGATAGAGTTTTTGCGCTCCAGAGGTCTCTACAGGACGAGCAGGGGAAAAAGGAACCGAATTATCTGCCGCCAATTTTCGGAAAAGAAGAGGCCGCGAGAGTGATACAGGCGCTACCATTTAGCCCAGAGTCGATATCGAGGTTCCAACTGGATCGTCATGATTTCTTCAACTTTGTCGGGGGAGACGGACAGTTACGACCCTACCCAATCCGCGTCGGACTAGCGAAGGAGGACTCGATATACTTCGTCGTATTGCTCCTGTTAAACCGCCCAGCCCAGCCGTTCCCCCACCCATCGCCCTCTCCTCACGCCCGGGATTTTCAATATTCATTCCAACAGTCATATGCTCAGTTGACTCCGATTTCGGGTTCCTTCGACTCTATACGCCCTCGATACGGGGAATCGTCTCGCGAGGGTGCTTACACACCACGTCAACCACCAACGCCTGCACCTATAGCCTCGGGTCTTACCCCCGGCATCAGTCCGAACGCTTCCTCTTATTCCGCTTCCATCCCCTCGCGAATCGACCCCCCCGCCGGCCCTTCTCACCATATCCCAAGGAGCGAGCTTCCCATCGTTAGGCCTCCCCAGCAAGTCGAATATCAGCTACCTCCTATCCGTGGCCAGAGTCAAGCTGGCCCCTCAGGAGAACCGTCCAGTTGGCAGCGAGATGATCGTTCAAGCCGTGTCGACATTGGCGGATTAATAGAAAAGCCCGACCCATCGCGACGAGGTCGGTAGTGGTTGATTAATACTCGGACGCCATGAATCCTTCCATGTCTCGTCTCTAGGTAGTTCCGGTCTCTTTCGTAGGCTGGATGCCTTTGGCGCCTATCCTCTAGGTTAATGTTTGATACTACACCCCCCATTCGCACTCGAATTGTAAACTATACCCATATCGCGCATCCGTCGTTTTCAGTCGCGCAGGAGATACCATGTACAACATAATGCATCTTTCCATCTATATATCATACTCCCGCTATTACACGGCGTCTGCTTTCTAGGACCGTTTTAATATGAGCATGATCCCACTTAGCCGTTTTATTGCCTCGATCGAGTCGTCCGGATTTGAGTTTGCTCTTATTTTACCGATCCCGTCGCCTTGGATGAGTTGGGTACCTAATCATGTTTCCAATCGCATATCGAATTGTTTTTTCCTCAGGTACGGCGTTTGAGGCTCTTGTTTCGTCACAAACCGGGAACTTGTGCGACGCCGGGAGGCGGCAGCACGAGGGGAGAAGAGGAGAGCGCAACATAATGAGAGGTAGTTTTTTCGGAAGGTCAGCTGCATCTTCATGTACTATATATTAGGTCGGGCTTTGGGGCTCTGTTTTTGTGACGTGAATGGGGGACGGTGGCCTGGTGATAAGGCCAGACTCGCCCAGCTTGCCCGTGCCAGACTGTTTGATGGCAACTCAGTGGAACCAGATAGGAGGGCGGGGTCTTTCGAGTTCGGGATCTCTCGCCGTCATTGTTCTAATCTTGTGTATATTTTTTTCCCCCAATTTCTGATCTCTATCTCGTCTTGTATCTAGCCAACAGTATCGGCCAAGGAAAGCGAGAGGGTGAGGCTCTATGGAGCGAGATCGTGTAATAAGATGCTAGTCCTAAGAAGAGGATATTGTATAGGTTGGAAATAAGGAGGCGGAGGCGGAGGAGGAGGAGGAGGGTAGCGAATAGGAGGTTATAGGTTATCCAGCCAAATACACGAAACAAGTGTGGGGGAGAGCAGAGTAAAAAGGTAGAAATCACAGAAATTGGGATGGATATATCAATGAAACGAAACATTTTCCGTCGGGACAAGAAGGAAAATTGGGTCGAGAAATGAAACAAGCGCGAGAAAACAAGAAACGGGCATGTTTACCGCGACTCTTAGAGATTTTCGTTTCGGAGGTACTATGTAGGCTGATCAGATCCTATCCAGCCATCAGATCCATCCAGGCCCGTCAATACAGCCCGGGAAGCGAACTTATATTCCGCCTCAACTAATTATAAGGATTCGGCCCGTCCTACCCGTCAACCCCCGTCTTGCCTCTTCTCCAGATCTTTCCTTGGGATCCTCCTCTTAAATCTACAATTATGTTGTCGGGTTGGCGTAAGCGGTAACCAGTAAGAGGTCAGTGCTGGGTCGGTTGCTAGGTTCATTGTGGTAGTTTGATATGATATCGAGGTCTATAATATAATGCTTCGTACCAGGAAAGTTGTTTTCATTTCCGAATATTACGACAGTACACATCAACAAGGCACCATCAAGACGGCACACGCTCGTCACTCACATATACTCATATACTTGTCGTCCATACAGACGCAAAATAGAATTCACGGGACGAAGACACCGCACGCATACAAGCGCTCGCATATATACACCGACTCTCACGCATAATGGGCACTTGAAACAAACCAAAATTCTTACTGCTGTTGCTCGGATGCTTCTTGTTCTCTTCCCCTCTTTTTCATACCACAGTACCCTGCTGACCTGGGTATTCCTTGCTAAGACCTCGATCTTCCTAGCTCCGATCTCTGCACATACAGTTACCGTGATGCCCTTGCAAACTTGCATCTTGCATCACCTCGGCCAGCCGAAGCACACCGCAAGATAAATAAGAAAAACATGCACGTACCACCCCCGTTTAGAAGGGTCCATGCCTGTGCAGACAAAATACGGACAAGCTTAACCTTGATAGAGGTGGGAATCAGTGCCGTGGTTGGCTCGCTAGCATCTAGTCATCAAACTGCGAAGGGGGGTACGTGCCTGTATCTGGGCATCTCACATTTTGGAGCAGCACGCAGTTGAGATTACCTACCGCTGGCCTACTACGTACATACATGAGATTATCTTATGTGGCCTGTCTACAGGGGTAAGTCAGTGGGTAAAATTGTCCGAGCCGTTGCAGCGTGCGCGCAGTGTTACGGGACTGCGGTACCGTAACGAGCCTACGGATGCACATCTGCACATCTAGCACGAGTAGGGTAGTAATGTCTAATAAACCGACGCTAATAAGAGAGAGGGAAGAAATAAAAACTCCCGACTGGTCCTCTCCTCTTGGGTCTTTTCGAATACCCTTGTCTAAGAGGTTATGATGCTTGTCATTGCGGAAGCGATCACTCACACAATACGCATCACACATGCACACCAACACCCAAGCTGTTGGCCCGCGAAGCCGGGGTTGATTCTTGGGGTTGGTAATAATCCTTCCGACCCAAAATTGAGATATCGCGTGTGCCTTTTAAACATCATCATCATCATCATATGTAAGAGTTATCGAATTATCACACTTAGGAGAGTTTTTTTACTTTAAGAATTCCCTTGATTCTCCAATGTGTTGTCTTATAAAGTCGTGACCGTCCCGCAAATAGTTTCGAGCTGGCGGTTAAACTCGCCGGGGGATAAGTTTACGGTCCCAGAAGGAAGCGTAACCCGAAATGCTTGAATAAAGATAACCACAAAAGTGAGAGTGACGTCGGGATGATGCATGACAGCGCAAGGGGTAAACAGAGACCCCTGAATACCGTACAGGCCTTTGTGAGGGCATACGAACGATCAGAAAGTAATATCCTTATGACAGCGATTCAAACTGATCATAAAGCCTTCTAACTCCTCTTTCTGAAATAAGATTGGGGTCGTCCTCGGTTGTTGTTGCTATCTTAAGTACGCTTAGTGCTACCCTAGCCTCAACAAGGGTATGAATGCCGCTCTGTACTGGGTAGAATTGTACACATTCCCTCGACTAAATTCTTACCAACAGATGAGGCAGAGAACGGGCCTAGATTTTCTACTGATTCTTTATTGTAAATTAAACTTTCCAAAGAAAAGTACAGCATAAAACACAGGTCTTGTTTGATACGACTCGTGTTTTCCCTATTTCATTAGTCTTTTCGAACATATCGTTTCTATCATGCGTGCCGTTAAGGGTTTTCTCGTTGAGAATACGGCTAAAGCCGATTAGCTCTAGTCAGCATCGCATTGACAAGGACACAGATATATCTTGGCCCTTAAGCAATGGTCCAAAGGTTAAAATGCTAGACTAATCGTATAGCAAGTGATCGCCTTAGCTCCTAACTTGGAAATCCCTTGCCGAGCGTAAGCCGGAATCGGGCTCCTTGCCTAGAAGCTAGTATATAGGTTGTATGATGCCGAAATAACAGTAGCATGCACAGGGGAGAATTCAATATTACCGATTCCGGAAAGCCATCATTATCCGGCTGGGCACTTGGTGTTACTTATAAACTTCGGTCTTCCTTCCGTATTCCGACAATGTGATATTTACATTTTCGTGAAGCTCGGAATATCCCCAATCGTCAAGTTCATCACACTTTTACATTTTACCTACCATGAGAATCCATTATCAAGTCGGCTCTTTCGGAGGCGGTCTGACGTGAACTTAGCTTAACATGAATCTACGATTATGCCTCAAATAGGCAAAGCCTGTAGGAAAACTACCTCTTATATCATGTACGTAAGCCACCTAATTCACACAAATGTCTCGTCACATATGATATTTACCTAATAGCCTTTTAGCGTAGCAATCCTTATATCATAACAATCCTCTAGCTTCGGCTCGCGAAATGAACAGCGTATATCGCAAAGTATAAGATTGAGTCCTTCAACCGAGGAAGAAACTTTATGAAGTTAGGAATGCCCAGGGATAAAATAAACTAAACCATTCTCTAGAGTTGAACGACGATCAACAATACTTTGTTACTGAGAATAATCTTAAGAACAACAAGCGCTTATGTTTATGGCAGTTTGTCAATTACGGGCAGCCTCAGATCTAAAAAAGGAGGTCCAAGCGCATGGATGAACACAGTACGAGACACAGTTAAATTCCCCTATCGATGCATATTCTGTGGATATGGTAGGTGTTGATTGGTGCCTTACCTGTGGCTTACAGTACAATGCAACATTGAATTCTATGGAAGTTGCCGCTTCCACTCACTCATCTCCTTATTCAGAAGGCACAACCCAGTGAAATAGCAAACCGCTACACTAATAACTCATCGCACTCACTGCTCGCTAATGCAAACGTGATCTCTACAACAACTCAAGCAGCGACCAAACAGATGAGAATCCAATTCCACTCACATTAATTCTTATTATTTGAGCGGTATCGCTGTGATAAACCTTGAGGCAAACCTTGAGGCAAACCTTAGGTACCTAAACTAGAAGGCTAAAGGAGAGCCGAAAATGCGCGTCTACCTACTATAAGACTTAATAGGCAATATTCGTCATACCTATCAAGCAAGCAGTAATATCGCCATAGGTAGTATTAAGATGGCTGATCCCATGGAGCTTGACGAGCCAAGAGGCACCAAACGAAAGGACCCATCGTCTCCAGATGAATACACTCCCCGCCGAATCAAGGCTAGTGTTCCTTTTCAACCCAATTAGGGAACGTAGGGCTGATTATCGACACCCTCTAGGCACTGGATCCAGACGTTGTGAACAAGATTGCTGCCGGCGAAATCATCGTAGCCCCAGTACATGCTTTGAAAGAGTTGATTGAGAATGCGGTTGATGCAGGTTCGACCTCTCTAGAAGTGCTGGTTAAAGATGGCGGTCTCAAGTTATTGCAGATCACCGATAATGGCCATGGAATTAATGTAAGTTCCCTCAATCCTAATTATCGCGTGCAACCAATTTCTTACGATGCCCGACAGAAAGAGGACTTGCCGATCCTATGTGAGAGATTCACCACGTCGAAACTCAAGAAATTTGAGGACCTGAGCAATATATGCACCTATGGCTTCCGGGGCGAAGCCCTCGCCAGCATCAGCCACATTGCCCACTTAACAGTAACTACGAGGACCAAAGACTCTAATTGTTCGTGGCGAGCGCATTTCGATGGCGGCAAGCTATCGCCTGCAAAGCCCGGGCAGCAGCCCGACCCTAAACCTATTGCTGGGCGTATTGGTACTCAGATATCAGTTGAGGACTTGTTTTACAATGTTCCAACGCGACGCAAAGCCTTTAGGTCCGCTTCCGATGAGTATAACAAGATCATTGATATGGTGGGACGTTATGCCATTCACTGCAGTGGTGTCGCTTTCTCATGTAAGAAGCATGGCGATTCGGGTACATCGATCACGGTGCAACAACAAGCTTCTACGATCGACCGTATTCGTCAGATCCACGGCAGCACCGTTGCGAGTGAGCTGATAGAGTTCGCCGCGTCCGATGACCGCTGGGGCTTTAAGGCTTCAGGATGGGCGACAAATGCCAATTACCATATCAAGAAAACGACCCTCCTTCTTTTCATCAACCATCGTAGTGTTGATTCATCTAACATCAAGAAAGCGGTGGAACAGACATACTCCGCCTTCCTTCCTAAAAATGGACATCCATTCGTTTACCTGAGCCTTGAAATTGACCCTCAACGAGTCGACGTCAATGTCCATCCAACGAAGAAAGAAGTTAACTTTCTGAATGAGGATGAGATCATCCAATGTATCTGTGAAAATATCCGGGATAAGCTAGCAGCAGTTGATACGAGTCGCACTTTCTTCACACAGACTCTACTCCCCGGTTCTATGCTTTCCGATACCTCTCAACCAGACGTGAATAGCTCTTCTGTTAAAACACCGGGCGGCCCGCGAAAAGCGCTTGTGCGGCCCGATGAACGCAACATGGTTAGAACGGATGCTTCTCTGCGCAAGATCACCAGCATGTTCTCTGCGGCCTCGCCATCGCCAGCAACTCGTACATCGAGTAATGCCGCACCCGACATAGCCCAAGAACCGGTTTACGAAATAACTGACCGTGAGCCGATTCTCTGTCGACTCACTAGTGTGCGCGAACTTCGCTCCGCCGTTAGAGACGATATGCACCACGAGCTCACCGAGATATTTGCTAATCACACCTTCGTGGGCATCGTAGACGAGAGACGCCGACTGGCCGCCATTCAAGGAGGCGTCAAGCTCTTTCTTATCGATTACGGCAGAGCATGTTTCGAGTATTTCTACCAGGTTGGGCTCACCGATTTTGGTAATTTCGGTGTTATAAAATTCCAGCCTGCGCTTGACCTACGTGAAGTTCTCAAAATTGCGGCCGAACAGGAAAAAGCTGCCGCCCCGGACGATGAATTTGATGTAGGCGATGTTGTGGATACGGTGGCAGAACAGCTGATCGAGAGAAGGGAAATGTTGCTAGAGTACTTCAACTTTGACATATCTCCAGCCGGCGAGCTATCGAGCATGCCACTTCTCCTGAAGGGTTACACGCCATCTATGGCGAAATTGCCGCAATTTCTTCTACGCCTTGGTCCCCATGTGAATTGGACAGACGAGAAGCTATGTTTCGAAACATTCCTCAAGGAGCTAGCAACATTCTATGTCCCAGAACAGCTTCCGGCGCTCCCGAGTAACGATGAGACTGAGGAAGATATCCCTGATGAAATCAAAGCAAGAAGAGAACAGATCCGACGCGCAGTGGAACATATCTTCTTTCCGGCATTCAAGGCAAGATTGGTAGCGACAAAGTCGTTCATGAAGGGTGGTGTACTTGAATTGGCGAGCCTCAAGGGACTTTATAGGGTCTTCGAACGTTGCTGATGTGCGCGCGGAACATTTGATACCCATATGCATTACGAATATAGTAAAATATTGCTGATTATAGAAAAGTTGAGTCCAGTCATCCTATGCATAGGTACCTAGTAATGGCTTGTAAAAGGGAATCTGGGATAGGCTTATATTATATTGCTAATTATATATCATTTAGGTAACGTAGTTTCTAGTAGTCGCACCGAGACTGAGAAAGACATGGTTAAAGAGGGATGCAAGGGAAGGATCCAGTATCCGCGCGGTTAATGGGCTCCACTTACACAACCCGTTATAGGACAGATGTAACAGATAAAAGCACTCTTATACGCCTTCTACTTCTCATTACTTTCTGGACGAGATATTTCCTCAGCGAAAGATAACTCCAATTATCCAATTTATCCAATAACTTGTTTCAATAGGTCTAGTTATTGCTTACCAAATCGTTGCCTTTAATATGTCTGAAGCTAGTTCGATAGCTTCAACAGCCGAAAGCGAATATCAGGGAAACGGCTTGGTGGTTAAGAGTTCCCCATTTGGACTCGAGAAAATATACGACTATGAGGAAGGAGGTCACCACCCCGTCCATTTGGGCGATATTCTACACTCTCGCTACAAGGTAATCCATAAACTGGGAACCGGCGGTTACGCAAACGTGTGGCTCTGCCGCGACAACTCCAGTGATACGCCTAAATATGTAGCTATGAAGATCATAATAGGAGAACAATCCACCAAGGACTGTCCTGAGCTGCGAATGAACAAACTCCTAGGCCGTGGATCAGATAAACTTCAAAGTCCGGATTATTTCTGTCTTCCATTAGACCAGTTTGAGATCAACGGACCGAACGGCATACACCTTGCTTTCGTGTATCCAGTTTTAGGTCCCCGAGTGTCAAGGCTACCCAGTGTCGCCCAGTCTGATGATCCAGGAGAATTATTGAAAAGGATCTGTCTGCAGGTGACCCAAGCTATGGCTGAACTCCATAGGCGAGGCGTCTGTCACGGTGGTATGTATATTTACACGTCTCCTTACAATTCAAATTCTAAGAGAACATTGCGAAGACTATAGGCCGGCCAACATTCTGGCCCAAATATCGGGTCTAGATGGGCTCTCAGAGGATGAAGTAATTGCAAATCTCGGGATACCTAGCACAACGAAAGTGGTCACGCTTTCCGGTGAGGGCCACAACTTACCAACGGCCCCTCAATATCTAGTATACCCCGTGGACTGGGATTCAACAGCGGCGAATACCACAATACTATACTTCATCTCCGACAAGGTCCGCATCATCGATTTCGGCGAGAGCTACGATATTGCTGCCCCCGTCGCAGACCTGGGTATACCACAGGCTTATTGCTCTCCCGAGTACACTTTGGAAGGCAAAGTCGGTATTGGGTGTGACTTATGGGCCCTCGGTTGTACGTTATTCGAGATCCGTACGGGGAGGAAGCTATTCGACACGTATGACGACGAATCCGACGAACACTTGTGGAAGACGGCCATGGTCCTCGGCAAGTTTCCAGAGCCCTGGTGGTCCGAAACTTGGAAGGCACGTAGGGATTACTTCGAGGACGAGGCGGATGCGGGGAATCGAGTAATAGAGGTACGCAGAGGTTCTAACGAGAGGAGCTCAGGTCCCGGCGCTGTAGGTGCGCTGGTTATGCAAAGGTCACAACCAAGGTCGCTACAGGAGACGCTTGCTCAAGGCCTATTCTACGAGAATAGTCACGGCCCGGGAGGGATTCAGCGAGGTATTCCTCAGAGGGAAATCGAAATCTTTTCGGACCTTCTCTCGAAATTACTAACGTATACCCCTGATAACCGCTCTACAGTCAGCTGCATACTAGACCATGATTGGTTTAAACCTGGTTTTTGAGATATTTTGGCCTTCTGGATTTTCGACTATAGCTTAATTTCAGTCAGAAGGTGTTAAGGCTAGAAGCAGTCGTCCTAAGTCGTGGTATCACCCAAACCGTGCAAATAGAAAACTGACTTTTGATTTCAGCACAAGGCTGTACACATCAAAGGAGGCTTAAATTGTATAGGTTGGCCTTAATACGCCTTGGTATCTACCTTGCTACCCAACCTACCTTATAATGCATATGCCTGAAAGCCGCGTGTACGACTCAATAAAATATCCTCTTGGTGTATATAAGTTTGCCACAAAGTAAGATCGCAAATACTTACCGCTATGTCAGAAAAGCATGGTTGAGTACTGGATATAGCGTTTCACTCAGAACATAGCCGTAGGCAGGTAAATGGAACCAAGGTGTTGCTTGCTGGTTGGCCAAATCCCAACCAACCAAATAAACTTATCGCAACACTAAATGAATAGAGCTGGCGACTAACCAATAAATATAGAATATTCGTAGGCGAAGCAACAATAATTCATAAAGTCTTCATTTGGTATAGGTATAATGCATCAGTACCTAAGGTCAGCCTCGTATCTGGTTGCATAATTTTGATGTAGGCCTACGACAACAAAGAGTGTTCTTGGCTATTCATTGGCTTCTTCTGCCAGAGCCTGCTTTACGTCAAACAGATCACCGTGCTGTGTCTTGGAAGTTAATATATGCACTACCACGTCTAGGCTTTGCCTCTGCTCTCAGCCTAGATGAGGCTGTGAGAGTGACATTATTGAATTGAGTTAACCTTGTCATTTATCAGATAGATATACGTTTATATAACTGTCTCATTTACTAGGTTGCCTTTTCACGAAATAGCCCCAGTTTCTCAAAGCACAACTTGTTATTGTTTTTAATCCATTTCTTTGATATTTCTTAGGGAATCTCTCAGTACTAGACTCAGTCCCAGAGCTATATATTATCGTTCTTCACACAATATGGACCTTAGAGGTATCGTAGAAGCCATGGATTCTGTTCGGGTTCGATCTCCGGTCGATACTATATCTTCTGATCTCCGAAACACCCCAAATCCAGACCAGATCCATCTACCAGATAATGTTCTACAAGCTAACTCAACATCAAGTTCACACCCTGCTACCCCCCTCAGTGCCACCTCTACTGCACCGACAGATATATCTCAGGGGGTAAATACTAGTTCGGAAGTCAATGGTAGTAACACTGCATCTCCACCTCTACTCCCTGTTTTCAGCTCCTCTGATTTTCAGGATATGCCTAACTTAATGCTTCCGCTTGTCTTTTCGAAGTCGTTTCACACCCTGAAGGAACGTCAGGGCAGACTATCACAGGGAAACGATAGATCGTCCTGTCCTAATTCACCAACTCCCCAGTCTTCGTCTGACAACCTATCCTTGTCTCAGTCGTGTCCAAGTTCCCCCCAGTCAGGCCCAACGAATCCTGACGCTACCACCAGCCAAGCAACACATCAGTCCCCTCGCGATGATAGACCTTTCAACTTCATGCCATCTACTGCGAGTCAAGAGTGGACTCGTAGGAAGGTGCTAGATGGCGAGACCAATGATGTCCTTGACGAACTGATGCGATATGAAGGATTGGAAGAGGTCAAGCAACAATTTCTAGACATCAAATCTAAGGTCGATGTCTGCAAAGAGCAAGGCAGAGATCTGACGTCGGAGCGTTTCAATATTGTTTTCCAGGGGAACCCCGGAACGGGTGAGTGATGATAGGTACCTACCGACATAAGACATCCAAGCTGATAGAAGATTCTTAGGTAAAACAACATTTGCCCGCTTATATGCCGAGTTTCTGTGCAGCTTGGGCATTCTCGAGTCTGACTGCGTGAAAGAAACTACCGGCATCAAAATAGCGACCAAAGGCACTGCAGCAATTAAAAGAAAGATCAAAGGGATGCTTCGAGGCTATCGCAACGATCGCAGCGGCGGGGTTTTATTTGTCGACGAAGCTTACCAGCTGACTGCTCCATATGCTGATAGCGTTGGACGGGCAGCTTTGGACATAATACTCACGATGATGGAGAACAACGTCGGCAAGCTTGTTGTTGTATTTGTCGGCTATAAGGACGAGATGGAATCGTTCTTCGAGCACAATCCCGGCTTGAGTAGCCGGATCCCCTATACAATGAACTTCGCAGACTTCACCGACGGCGAACTCTGGAAGATACTAAGTGACAATATTGCAAGCGAATACGGCGGAAAGATGAAGGCCGAGGGCGGCATGAATGGGCTTTACATGCGTATCGCCATTCGCCGGCTTGCCCAGAACCGCGGCAGCAGGAGCTTCGGTAACGCACGCGCTGTCCAGAACCTCTTATCTAAGATCGCGCATCGACAGGCACAGCGTCTAGCGAGAGAGAGGAAATATGGCGGGAAGCCAGACATCTTCCTTTTTACGAAAGAAGATTTAATCGGCCCAGATCCGGCCACTGCCAGTACAAGCAGCGAGGCATGGATCGAACTGCAAAGGCTCGTCGGGCTCAACCAGGTTAAGGAGTGTGTGCGAAGCATGATAAAGACGATTCAACACAACTACCTCCGCGAGTTAGCCGAGCGTCCTCCTCTCAAATTCTCACTAAACCAGCTATTCGTGGGAAATCCTGGTACTGGAAAAACAACAGTGGCTAAGTTATATGGCCGAATCCTAGCAGACTTGGGCTACCTCAGCAATGGAGATGGTGAGTTTTGTCTTCTTAAAATGCCATAGGACTATTAACTAACATCCTCAAGTGATTTTGAAGAACCCGGCTGACTTCATCGGTGACTGTCTTGGAAAGTCCGAAGCGAAGACAAGGAAGATTTTGGACGCTACCGTTGGTAAGATCTTAGTGATTGACGAAGCGTATATGCTTGACGCCGGCGATCCCGGCAGAGAGCAGGATAAATTCAAGACCGGAGTGATTGATACATTGGTGTCAATGGTCCAGGGAGTACCTGGAGAAGACCGGTGTATCATCCTCATTGGATATGAAGATAAGATCAAGGACATGTTCCAGAACGTCAACCCGGGTCTCTCACGACGCTTCCCCATCGAGCGACCTTTCCGCTTTGAGAACTTTGATATCTCGCAGCTAGAACAGATCCTACGGCTGAAAATGGGTCAACAGGGGCTTAGTGCTACTGATCATGCTATCAAGGTAGCTCTCGAGGTTCTTGAAAGGTCGCTGATGCGTCCAAACTTCACAAACGCCGGCGAGATCGACAGCCTCCTTTCTATGGCCAAGACGAATTATGAAATGAGATTATCGGCAATGTCCATAATCAGTTTAGACGCTGACATAGAGATGGAGGCAGCTGACTTCGATCCTGATCACGATAGAGGGTCTCGAGTCGACTGTCGTAAGCTGATGGAGGGCCTAGTACACAGCACCATCACTGACAAATTCGTCGGGTACCAAAAGCGATGCTTTGGGGCAAGGAAGCATGGATTAAACCCGAGGGAGCAAGTCCCGACGAGCTTCATATTCAAAGGACCATCAGGTACGCACATCCGAAGGATCAGTGGCCACTTAAGTTGAATAAATTACTGACTTTTATCTCCCTATAGGCACTGGGAAAACCGTCACCGCACAGAAGATGGGAGAACTTTTCTATAATATGGGACTTTTAGCGACACCCGAAGTAGTCGAATGCACCGTGGCCGATCTCCTTGGTCAGTACGTTGGACAGACGGTCCCCAAGACACGAAAGAAGCTCCAGGAAGGTGTCGGGCGAGTTCTTTTCATCGACGAGGCCCACAGACTTGTTCAAGGACAATACGCAACTGAGGCAGTCGACGAGTTAATCCAGTTCCTTACCCGACCGTCGCATAAGGGCAAGATGGTCGTGATCCTAGCCGGCTATACGGCAGAAATGCATAACCTTATATCGTCGAGGCCGGCCCTTGCGAGTCTCTTCCCAGAAGAGATTACCTTTGATAACATCCCTCTCGACGATTGCATTGCGTTGCTTGCCAAGGAGCTTGAATTTAGCAAGTTCACAAGTGAAGCAGGATTCCTCACGAACCCGAGCTCGCCGGACTATGGAAAAGTCAAGAGGCTCTTCCGCGCTATGCAATCGATTCCTAGCTGGAGCAATGCCCGTGACGTGAGAAACTTATCGAGGAGAATTCTTGGGGGATTTCTTGAGTCTATCGACTATGATTGCACCCACCAGGCCCGAGTCATCTCCGCAGCCCATATCACAAGCTGTATGTGGCAGATGATCACACAGCAGAAAGAGCGCTGTACCGCCACGGCGTCAAATGACAAGGCGGCCTCGCCACAGCAGCCGCCCACCAGGGGAATGGACTCCCACCCAATGATGTTTAACCCGCAGCTAGCAACACCGCCTCCGGTTGCCTCTACCTCCTATGCACCTAGAGCAGAAAGCAGCTTTTCTACCGCGAATAATAGCGCCTCGGTTAGAACCCAGGGTCAAGGTCTCAACAGCTTTTTAACGTCTCAAGCCACCGCCGTCCACACAGGAACGAATGGACCGCAAAGTAACCGTAACACGCAAGGGCAGAACGCACCGAGTGCAGATATACGCGAAGAGGGCGTGTCCGACGCTGTCTGGCAGGAACTTTCCAAGGCGAAGAAAATCGAAAGCGCTCGGCGCGCCCTGCGCGATACGGAAATCAAACGACTAGAGCGTAGTTTGCGAGACGCCGAAAAGAGCGGCGATGCCTCAGCTTGCGATGCGCTACGGAGCCAACTCTCGGCAACTCAGCAGCGCATACGGGACGAAGAAAGGGTACAGCAGGCCATACAGCAAATGAATGTCTGCGTCAATGGATTTTCTTGGAATAAGGTTGCCGGTGGTTATCGATGCGAAGGTGGAATGCATTTTGTGACTGATGAGGATGTTCAGTCGAGAATGATATGATAACTGAAGCGCGCTCTGTGAACAACTACATACTTTAGGTACGATCAGAACTAACAATGTAACACTAGCCACCATAAGAATGCGAAACTACGAAGATGGCATTATGATAATAGAAAGGAATATAAGATTTATCTATCTTGAAATATTAAAAAATAAATATTAAAAAAAGGAAAAAAGAAGACCAAAACGTACAACACCGGGGATTCACTGGTCGTCACCGACCCAATTACTAATCCGGCGGTATCTGGTTTATCGCTGGGAGAGCGGACGGGATCCCGAGTTTTCCAGATCCTATGGTCGTACGTGATAGATTATGTGGTTTTTACAGCTTATATACCTGGTGTTTTGGTTGCTCGAGTTAAAAGGGGGGGCTTCATCTCTATGAGCTGGATTCTCATCGACTAGGCTACCAAACATTCAATTTCTACTTTATCTACGTGTGAAGATTATAGAATTGCCATAATTGTAAATAATTACATTCAATATTTAATTTACTTAGGCTCATTCTGAATTTCTGTGGCTACAAAAAGGTGATGCAAACTTGCTTAAAAATGTGTGTCGAAGTGACAACTTATCACATGTACTCCATAGGCTAACACAACAAACCATCTTGCCTTATCATACTTAACTTACTCATGAATGAATCTCTGAGTAAAAACAGGGGGTTTAGCAGGGCAACAGTTTGCCTTGGTTAATGGAAACATAAACCAAGGGACAACACATTGGATAAGGTAGTGGGTAAGCGGGACTAATCAATAGTAGATAAAATATCGTGAAAAAATCACTTCTGAAATTCACGCGCAAGTACTCATTTAACTATACTATTGTAAGTGTACGCACGACTGCTGAAACTAGATGTAGTCACTATCTGATTATGCTTCCTCTTGGCATAGAATATCGCGAAGACCGAGACTCTGGAGGCTTTTTCGCCTACCTACTGCAAGCTGTCGTTCATGGAACAAACGCAACTCTGTTTTGCTGTATGAAATGAATGAAGTGCATAACGAAAAGCACGGAAGAGGATACCGCGAATGACCGACAATTAGTTTGTATCTGCTATGTGAGGCTCTGGGCTGTGTTTGATGAAGCCTGCGCTTGCTATTTGAGACAGTGATCCATGGAAGACTAGGGGTCGCTGTTGACCTTTTTGAGCGAGGTGACGCATTCATGCCTCACCTTCATCTTGGACATCGTCGTCATCCACAGGTTCCTCGAGCTTGACCTTCGGTTCTCCATTCTTAGCACCCCTAGTGGAACGGACAGGTCTGCTCTTGGTAACGGCGACTGTGTTGTACGTGTATAAGTAAGCAATAGAGCATTAGAATGTAAAAGAGGAAGAGGAAGACAGGAAGGAGGTAATAAATGGGGTATAGGGTAAACTACATACCAGCGTCTACATTAGAGTCTTCTCCCTCTTTCTCGTCGTCAGACGAAAGACGAGCTTTCTTGATAGAGACCTTATCCTCCTCTATTATGGAGATGTCAGTGCCTAGAAAACAAAAAGGAAGGAGGGGAGGGTAGGGTTCATGTCAAACTACGTACCATCGTCACTAACCCAATCGGAGTAGGTTCTCTTCTGAGTTCTCTGACGGGAACCACGGCGGGGAGCTGTAATGATGTGTAGTGTCAGCAACTAAACATATCGTGACTACCTATGCATGGATGAAATATCATGGAATGGAAAGAAATGATGAAGCTAGTTAGGTAGTAACATACATTTGGTCAGCTTAGTAGATGTCTTCTTTTTGCCATGACTACCGTTGGTGGTAGCAGCGGCCTCAGCTTCCTGGCCGCTGTCATTGTCGTTCTTATTACCATTGCGGTAGGCAGCTGCCTCAGCACGGAGGTTTGTCCAAGTGTTCTGGAGGCTTCTGATTGTACGGCCGGGCATTTTAAGCTCGGCAAAGGGAATACCCTTGCCAGACGGATGCACACGGTCAATGACCTGAAGGAGGAATTCAAGCTATTCGGTATATCTTATTAGTAGTCGTCCATCATAAATTATATCCTGCTGTTGAGGCAGGTTGGTAGGAGGCTATGATCTGCGTACCTTCTCCTGCGGGCTCCAAGGTTTACCACTCGACATGATGGTAGATGAGCCGTTGAGTTGTTAAAGAGCGCTTGGGTAAGTGGGGAATGTTTGCCCTTGAGATTTTGGTTAGTTGAGGTATGATATGTGAGGTGGTAAGATGGAAAAGAAGTGTAAAGGACGTGAATTTCTTGGATAGTGTAGATGGGTGGGTGGTTTATGGTGGGCTAGGTGAGCTAGGTGTGGTAGGTGTGGTAGGTACGGGTTATAGAAATTCACGGGCAGTAGCGTCGTGTCGTGAGTACATAGGCAATAGGATGTATCTAATGCGAAGTAGTTTATAGAAACGTACGTAGGTATGAGGGAAACACTTTGGCAGGGAATTTCTCGCGTACCTGGGTAGGTAGGTGCTTAGGTATTAGAGTCTTTAGTTTGCTAAACCCGGTTGCGGGTTGGAGTTGGGAAGCCAGTTGCCTGCTGATAGAAACGGTCACGACGGAGGATATAATGGAACTTTATAGAAAATGTTTGGAGTCCTACCAACCGACTTAACCCGTTGGCACACTTCAGAAAATGGCCATATCTACTTCCTTTTCCTGGGTTTCCCTACGCGTCTATCCAGTGCGAATACTTGAGAAATACGAAGTAGCTATGCAGTTTACTTAACCCCGTGAGCACATAATGCAGTAGGTATATCACATTTTTGATGATGGGTCATATTTTCTCTTATCGTACCCTCGTAGGCATAGAACAGTTTCCTGTGAACGAGGGCGGGTGCAGAAGCGAAAGAGGCTAGATGCTGTCAATCCATGAAAAAAAGCAAAGGCAGTGGGCATGTTCAACACCCTTACAGAAGTGATGCTTACAGAGACATCACCAGCGTTCAACCTTAGGACTGGAGGCAACTGTGATAGGATTGTGATACTCAACGCAAAACGGTAGTTATGACACCGAGGAATATAATCTTGAATGACAAGTCACACAACTCTTTTTTTTTGGCTATCTGTTGTTGTAGCGAAAGCACCAATGCTTCCACCTAAGGTACGCATGTAGGTGGGCGTTTTAGGTGGTTTAAGAGCAGGCTTACCTGCGACATGGGGGTTAATGACATTTATTAAAGCCAAGACTATATCACGGAGTGCAAATGCAAACCAGACAATTTCCACTTACTTTTTATGTCAAGTTCGTATCTCGGGTCCCGGGACGTACTCTTCTTCTTGTTATGTTAAAGAGCTTGCAGCTTCGAGTCTTTATAACTTGGGATAGTATGGTCCCTACCCACTATTTATTTATAGTGGGAATAGAAATAGAGATATCTATGCAAAACTCGTATTTATATAAGAGCCTCTTCTATTATTCACGTGCAAAAAGTCCGTTTAGAGTAGCATTCCTAAAGTAAACAATCTGTACTCGTTCTGTCGTTCTGATTAGTTAATCCCGACCTCCCGTTCGTGGAACCCGAAGCTAAGATAACGAATCGTTATCGCACCCTTGCCCCTTGCTACCCATATCGTCCAGCAAAACTTAATCTGTATCCAGGTAAGTAGGATGTCCACCTACACCTACATAACCTAACGTATTTTACCGAGCGGGAAGGATAGGTGAAAAGCTTCCAAAAAGCTACTAATAAGCTGCCTTCATCCGGGTTCGCATAGACGGTCCTCATTGCATTGCGTCAAGAACATAATCTCTTATCAGCAGGGATCGTGGGAACATACGTATTTCAGAATCGACTCCAGAATCGACTCATGACAATTAACCCATAATTTTAGTGATACCGTCCGCGTCACTTTCGTCACTTTCGTCACCTTCGTCACCTACTCCATCCTCATCATTACTACAATCACTACCTCGATGCAAAGGTTATCTGTCATAAGTGTGAAATAGATGAGCGAGACAACACATTGGAAGGTATTGACGCTGGATGAGGCACCTATTGCCTTTGCGCATTGCTGAGTCAGGCCTCACTCGGCTTCTTCACTCGTCATCGGGGTTCTCTTCAAGGCTCTCTCCAGAGCTCCCTTCAGGGCTCTCTCAGCCTACATCGCCGCTACGGTACACATCTACTCCCGACAATCGACACATATTCACCACTTGTCTCACACGTCCATTCACTACAGAGACACGTTCTCGTCACCAATCGACTCCTACAGTCATGAATGGATCAAGTCCAACCTCGCGCTCTAAGCGCAAAGCTCCCTTCTCCCCCGACGAGCACGGTCGTCTTCATAAACACCTCCGACCCGCAAACCGAAAGCTATCCCCGAGCGAAAACACACCAGATACTGAATTGCCAAGCTTTATGGAGAGTGATATGGCTACAGACGAAGAACTAGCACCCTACCCGCCACAAGCTGTGCCTGATACTGCAGAATGGCAGGCTACCATAGAGAAGGTCGTTAGGAATGTTGTCTCTATTCGTTTTTGTCAGACCTGTTCCTTCGACACGGATGCTGCATGCGCCAGTGAAGCCACTGGATTTGTCGTTGATGCTGAGAAAGGGTAAGATGGCTCAATAACAAGTACTGTGGGGTTTCGTCTGCTAATACATTAATAGATATATCCTTACAAATAGACATGTTGTCGGCGCGGGACCTTTCTGGGGTTATGTTGTATTTGACAACCATGAGGAAGTCGATGCGTACCCCGTCTACCGGGACCCCGTCCATGACTTCGGCATTTTGCGCTTCGACCCCAAAGCGATCAAATACATGCCTGTTTCGGCCCTCCATATCCGCCCGGATCTAGCAAAAGGTGTGTTATATTACCTAAAACGTGGTTAAGCGCAGATTTCTAACCACGTTGTTTTAGTCGGTGTGGAAATAAGAGTTGTCGGAAATGATGCTGGCGAAAAGCTTAGTATCCTTTCCGGTGTCATTAGCCGGTTAGATCGCAATGCCCCCGAATACGGCGAGGGTTATAGCGATTTCAATACCAATTACTATCAAGCTAATGCTGCTGCTAGCGGTGGTAGCTCTGGTAGTCCGGTCGTAAATATCGATGGTTTTGCCATAGCACTACAAGCTGGTGGGAGATCTGATGGTGCATCAACCGATTATTTCCTACCCCTTGACCGACCGTTAAGAGCCCTTCGCTGTATACAGGAAGGGCGGCCAGTTGAGCGGGGCACTATTCAGTGTCAATTCCTTATGAAGCCGTTTGACGAGTGTCGTAGGCTTGGCCTAACACCGAATTGGGAGAAGGCAATTCGGGAAGCGTTTCCTAAGGAGACCAACATGCTTGTTGCCGAGATAGTCCTCCCTGAAGGCCCTTCTCACAATAAGATCGAGGAGGGAGACGTGCTCCTGAAGGTGAATGGTGAGATGATCACACAATTTATTCGGCTAGATGACATTTTAGACTCGAGTGTTGGCAAAACCATCCGGGTGACTCTGCAACGAGGAGGTGAAGATATCGATATCGATATCCAAGTTGGAGATCTTCATGCAATCACACCAGACCGTTTTGTGACTGTCTCCGGGGCTAGCATTCATAATCTATCCTATCAACAGGCACGACTCTACGGTGTAGCTATCGACGGTGGCGGTGTCTTCGTTTGTGAATCGACTGGTTCTTTCCGTTTCGATAGTGCAGATAACGGCTGGATGATCCAAAGCGTTGACCAGAAAAAGACACCCAACCTAGATACTTTTATTGACGTCGTGAAGCAGATCCCTGACAAGAAGCGTGTTGTAGTTACATATAAGCACCTTAGGGATCTCCACACCCTCAATACCACAATCATTAATGTCGACCGGCATTGGTCTGCTAAGATGCGGCAGGCTACGCGAAACGATATAACCGGGTTATGGGACTTTGAAGATATTGCCGATGCCCTACCCCCTATACCTCCAGTACGCCGCAAGGGTGCTTTCATTCAGCTGGAGCACACATCGCATCCCGCTGTAGCTGATTTGGTCCGCAGCTTTGTGCGTGTAGGCTGTACAATGCCTCTCAAGCTGGATGGATTTCCCAGGAACAGAAAGTGGGGGATGGGTTTAGTGATCGACGCCGAGAAGGGGTTGGTGATTATATCAAGAGCAGTCATTCCTTACGATCTGTGCGATATTTGGATTACAATTGCCGACTCCATAGTTGTTGAAGGCAAAGTTGTCTTCATGCATCCACTCCAGAATTACGCAATTATCAAGTATGATCCAGCGCTCGTTGATGCGCCGGTGTTAAGTGCGAGGCTCAGCAAAGACAGCATCACGCAAGGAGCGTCGACAACTTTTATCGGATATAACAGGAGTGGCCGAATTGTGCACGCCGCCACCACGGTTACTGAGATAACTACGGTGGCTATTCCTGCTAACTCGGGCGCGCCGAGGTATCGGGCTACCAATGTCGACGCAATCACTGTAGACACTAATCTTAGCGGTCAATGCGGAAGCGGAGTGCTTGTTGACAAGGATGGAACTGTACAAGCCTTGTGGTTGACTTATCTAGGTGAAAGGTCCTCTGGGTCGAGAGACGAAGAGTATCACCTGGGGCTTGCTACGCCAACTCTACTACATGTTATATCACAAATTCAGCAAGGTCAAGACCCCAAGCTGCGTATGTTGCCCATGGAGTTCCGGCCCGTCGCCATGTCCCAAGCTCGCGTCATGGGCGTTTCTGAGGATTGGATACACAAAGTCTTCTCGGCCAACAAACACAGCCATCAGCTGTTTATGGTTTCTAAATGTACCTTTGAGCGCGACAACCGCCCCGCCGTCTTGCTCGAAGGTGATATAATCCTGACCCTCAACGGGAAGATTATCACCCGTGTATCAGAGCTAGATGTCATGTATTCGCATGAGGTTCTCGAAGCTGTTATCGTCCGAGAAAGTCAAGAGATGAATCTCCAAGTTCCAACGTCACCAGCTGACAATGTTGAAACGAACCACGCCATTTCGTTCTGTGGAGCTATCCTTCACGTCCCCCATCTTGCGGTTAGGCAGCAGATAAGCAAACTCGCAAGTGAGGTATACGTGTCTGCTCGGAGTAGAGGTTCACCTGCATATCAATACGGACTTGCACCAACCAACTTCATCACACATGTCAACGGCAAGCCAACACCTGATCTCAAGGCTTTCCTAGATAATGTAGTTAAGATCCCGGATAATACCTGTAAGGCTTCTCTCCCTCTTTCGACATACCTGGTCACATAAGATTAGCTAACATGCTCTTAGATTTCCGATTGAAGGCTATGACTTTTGATAACCAACCGTGGATTATCACGATGAAAAAGAACGAACATTACTTCCCGACGATGGAGTGGATAAAGGACGGTTCGGAACCTTGCGGCTGGCGACGCATCACGTACGAGAGCGGCGAGCCTGTGGAGGGCGAGCCTACGGATGGGATTCTCCCGGTGCAGGACGCGGAAGATGTTGACGACATGGATGACGGTGGAATCTAGGCATTTGGCCTATTTGCGAATCGCCCAAACATGATTCGGTTCCATGATTAGACGTAATACCGTTCTCTGATAGAGTTCTTTGTACATAATGAATTACTGTACACAACCAAGTTATATAGCATCGCCTACTGGGGTGGCTTGGTTAACAGGTTATGGTTTGATTACATATTTATAGTTCTAATGATTTCGTGGTCAAGTTTCTTATAAGAGCCGCAATTTTTGTTTTATCTTCTGTTATGTTAAAATTGACTTGTGTATCTATAAAAAAAATCTCCTGAGGTCAAGGCAACCTTAGATATAGCTCCTTGTTGGTAAACTACCATAGCGGGGCTGCATGGGTTCGTGGAACGCTTCCAACTTGGATAATTATGCCATGTATAATAATCATTGGATTCAGACCCAATCGTTCCAACATCGTGGAATGATTCTAACATCGTGGAATGATCCCAAAATGTGGAATGGTTTCGTAAAATAGAATGATTTTTGCTATTCACGTAACTTTCACGTGACTTTCACGTGAAAAAGTGGGGTAAAAGTTAAAAAATTAAAAAAAAGTGAAAAGATTAGGCCTCGAACCTACAGCTCCCGCGTTTGTGTAACCATAAACCCCACAATAAGATTTAAAGTTTAAACGTTTAAGCTAATGGGATAAAGTGGCCAATCTTATCGAATTATTTCAGGATGGAAATTCATCCGATTTTAGCCCTTATAACCTTTACTTTCGAAAAGGTAAAATTTATAAAATTTTAACTTAGAAAAAAAAAAAATTTTAAAAATTTTTTTTTCGAAATTTTTATAAAAAATATCATACAGAATGATTACAAATTGTGGAACGCTACCTACATTTGCGGAACGATTCCACATACGATTTTAAAATAAACCTTACTTACATAAGAAACGCCCCACTAATATCCGGATCCAGCCAATCAAAGGCCTTAGATCCGCGGAACGTTCCACCCCCACCAACCGTTCCGACATTATCAAATCATTCCACGAACCCACATTTTGCCGCTATGGTAGGTAGTATAACAAGAGTAATAAATAGCAACCCTAAGGTACATACTACATATAGATACCAGGCAGGTAAAACCGTCGAAACCCCCGTTGCCAACTGCCATGCTCTGACCACCAAAATGTACCTAACTAAAGTCCTAAAGGCAGGTACCCAGCAACAAACCGCCCGCCAACGACGAAAAACTTATCATGTCCAACAACAAGTCGTCTCCTCGCCGCCCCACGACTGGCTGGCACATGGCACATGGCACATGGCGTATTTGAATCACTGCAAAAGCAACAACACTCAACCCGAAGTGCGCCGGGTTCGAGTGCCGGGGGCGGCACGGTGGGGTCCGGGGATTTGTGGCGGCCCACCACAATGGCGTACGGTATATGGTGGGGAACTGGGGGATTGTGGGTACTGGGGGTCCTACACTGTTAGGACACAACATTCACGGCAGAAAGGCGGTTGTGGTGTGGGTTAGAGGGCTCAGGGGGTTGGCGATGGGATGGGGAATGGGGAATGGGAGGAGGTGGGCACTTTTTTTTTTTTCATAGTTCTCTCCTAATGGGTAGTTGATGATTTATTCATGTAAGTTGGTGGTCTTTATTTCCTTTTATTTTACATGTCTTATTTCAGTTCACTTTATCGTAATAGCTTAGGGGGGACAAAGTAAGTTGTTTACAGACCTTCAGCATAAACAACCTCCTCTCCTCTTTTTGATATGGTAACCCTTTTGCCATTTTTGCTATGCGCAACTATCTTAGGTTAGGTACTTAACCTTAGGAGGTAGTCATGCTTGCTTTATGTCACAACCCATACCACTACAATCTTAAAAGACAATTGGATATGCGAATCGAAACGGTATTAATATTTTCGTAGGTTCTTTTTCAAGAATAGAATGCTATCCTAGATATGTATAGGTAGTAATAGGTAAGTTAGGATATCTCTATAGGAGTACCGTCGAGGCAATCCACTAATCCCGCCAACCCAGTAGACCACCCGCCTCTAGAGACGGATGCCCTTTTATGCAAATACCATCCTCGAGCCCTAATTATATGCAAGCAGCAAAGGTGCAAGCAGCAAAGGTGCAAGATGCAACCGGTCAACGATCGAGGGTGCAAAAACAAACAACTCCCAGAACCCCAACAGCTCAACGCACCAAAACCTATGCCAGTCCACCTTGACGGTCTGGACGACATTCTATGGGTGCCAAAGGGTATCGATAGTGTAGCGGAATAAAAAGTAAGGCGATCCAGCCAATTAGATTCCTAGGTCGGCGCAAAGAAAAATTTTCGATGATCATGGCTCATCCCGTCATATATAGTCCACCCTTGCCAATACATTTTCCTCATCTCGTCGAGAACTGATTTAGAGGAGAGCGGCAAAAGCAGCCGCAGCGAGAAGCATCATGCTGTTTATGGAGCCGTAATTACTATCGCTTCCAGCTGTGGCGATACCATTCGCAGGGATTGTGGGCGAAGGAGTGGCCGGCGCGGCCGTAGTTTCGGGGCCAGGAGTGTTGGTGCTGTTCGCAGGGGCGACCGGGGTGGGGGACTCGCTATCCTGAGACGTGCTGGTCGTGCTTATAGGGCTTGTGGTAATTCTAGTACTTGTAGTGTTTGTAGCGGCCTTAGCTGACGTACTAACACTCTTAGCAGTAGTGGTTGAAGCATAGGTCGTAGACGTGTGCGACGACTTAGGTTTGGTGGTGGATGGGCTAGTCTGCGTCACAAGGGAACCAGGAAGGTTATAGGCGTCTGCGCACTGCTCCAATGTCATATTATCGGGACAGCACCAAGTGGCGCCTTTATCATCTGCTGTGCAGAAGAAGCCTTTATCGCAAGATTCTATATGATGGTCAGCTTAGTCTCATATATTGCTTATCTACTATGAGATCCTACCTCCAGTTTTTCCAGGGCAGCAAGTCTGCTGGGCAGTCTTATTGAAGCAGTGTACAACACTGTCCTTAGAAGCGCATTGTTCAAAACCTTTACCGCACGCTTCAGCACAAGTATCGCCATCCTCGCAAAACTGCTGCTCGGGCGCATATCCACCATCCGCACGACGACCGAGACCAAATATAGCTCTAGGCGACATATGGGCGAGCTTTGGCTTATACGGTTGACGTATAGGCTCAGCAATAGCCTGGCCAGCAAGGGCCATAATAGCAAGCGAAGATATCGTGCCGAACAACATGATGATTTTTTTCCGTAAAGTGATACTGAAGATCTTAGGTTTGTTAGGTTGTATGAAGTAAGAAGGTATAAATATAAAGCTGCTTTTTCCGGTGTTAAAAGATGGACTCGGGTTAGGATAAAATAAGTGAGTGTACGCTCGTCAGAGCTATAACGAATGAATGACAGAATGAATGGAAGAATGTTTGATAGAAAGGTAATCAAACAAGCAAGCAGGCCCGGGCTGTCAGAATGGAAGTCTGAAAATGAATGAAAGAAGACCCGAAAAGGGAGCAACGGAGAAGCAGCAAAGATCGTCAGTAGATATAATGGGGAAAGAGAATTCTTGGTGTGTTGCCCTCCTGTATCATCAAGATAAAATATCAGGGCGATCACCCTTGATTATTTAAATCGGTACCTACCACTAGCTGCATAGGTAGGTACCGCTTGGGTGCTATCCCAATAGAGGGGATACCTGGATACCTGCCCAAAATTCGATCCATGTCGTAATATGTAAGTTGGCCCTGCCAGGCTTGCCAGATGGTGCAAATGCGTGGTTAGGCGCGGGCGCATAAATGATCGTAGCAGGGTTACTTCGGATGGACCACACAGATCATGTTCGCCAACAGTTTACAATACCTCTTAGCTTACTCCTCTCATATCCTCCTTTTCGATTTGGTAGATACTTGGCCCATAACATCTAACCCACTTCTAGATCTGAAAAACGCTAACTGCATAGAACTACTATGCGGTTCTAATATGCAGTGAATTATACGTGACTATAGGACAAAAATCTCCGAATAAGCGCGTCCGGTACCAGGTAGCTAGCTCAGGGCGCATCTAAGATGTCTGAGCTAATAATAGACGAATAAGCGATAGCCAGTAGCCGTAAAGTGGCTTGACTGAAGTGAAGGTAGCCAAGCTTTTCCGTCCAGGCTTAGCATTGTAGCAGATTAAGTAGATGAACAGATTCCAGAGCTCCCCTCAGGAAGGAGGATGTAAAAAGAAGCAGAAATCGGGAGCGGGGGAATGAAAACTTGAAGCAAGGGGAAAGTGTTAGGGAGAGGCGCTAAACCTAGATACATACCCGATGTACCTTACCTGAATGAGATAAATCGAAGATTACCTAAGGAGATCGTCAGGAACAAATTCCAATTTTGAAAACAGACTCCGAATCCAATTGGCTGGCTGCAAGCAACTTAGTCCCTGTCGCTTGTTTCATCTCGGAGCCATGCACGCCAACTCTATTTAACCATTCAATTCCTCTTTCCAATATAATTCACTGCATGTGTTGGCAACCTCACCGCTCACTTATGTAATTTACTTATGTAATTGACGAGTCTTGTTTTCGCCTTTTAGTTGTACGCACTTGAAAGTAAAAATATATCTAAATTAACTACATATAATGTGCCTAGCGATTTATGTTTGCGCCCGTGCAACAATCAAGACCATAGCGGTGTATCAGCTCCCTCACGCCAAGTGTTGTTGACCTCTTTCCATTTAAGCACGTAGCCGTCTCGGCAATGTAACCGTCCTCTGTGTCACGGTCGTTTTGCTACGCCATAGATCTAGCCCGTGAGACACAGATATACCCAGCAAACGATTCACTCGGGCCTCTTCTAAGCGCGGAAGAATAGAAATGCATGCTTAATGCTGATAGTTAGGGCATTCATACGAGTTCTCACCTATCTAATCTTAGGTCATCATAACTCTATCTAAGTCATCTAGAGCTCCAGTGTTTAAACTAAGTTTTCAGCAAAACTTAGGGACATATTTCGATAGGTATATTCGTGCTGGCCTCATTTTCTTGAATTATACGGACATAATGATGGATACTATATATGATTCGTTCGTCTTATAAGCCGAGGTCGAGTGTCTTCTATTTGGACATCGGCGAAAGTCTACTAGCATCAAAAGACCGTGCTATTCTATCTAGATAGCTTCGTAATCATGGCGCGAGCACGTCTATAGTTTCTGCAATAGAGTTTGTGGTGGCTTAGGAAGAGTTCCTTATTCTCCACGTAACGATGTCTTTATACTTTATACTTTTTCTATAGAATACTACTAGAGTTTCATCCAACTCGAAACATTCAACCTTAAATAGATTGCTAGATGCTAATCCGATTACTATAAAGCCAACTCTCTCTGAAATAGCATCGTATCAAGCAGCTGATCATTCATGAAGGTGTCGAGCGTAGTGTTATTACTGTGACATGTAATTACGCAACATAGCCCAGTGAGGGCTTTCAAAGTTGTTAGAGTAGCAAGTATTCAAAGAATACCTAGACACCTACCTAACCTATATAGAAAATCGTGAGCACGGATACGATCAAAGAGCGAATCATATGTCGCTAGCTGAAGTTTATTTTCACATGTGTTTGTCTAATCCCTACTTAGGCCTATGATCTATGACCGTCTGATCATACAGTCCATCAGGAGTTCGGGCGCCTCTTCGAAGCAGTGTTCAATATCTGTCGACTCACGCCCATTTACAATCCTACAACACTTTTGCGTAGAACCTCATATTCTCCTATCACCAGGGACACAACTTAGACTCGAATCCACTCAGATTTCCTTTAGGACATCATGCGGTTTCCAATATTCGCTCTCGCCTTTGCTGTCTGCAAGGTAGCAACGTTGCCTCTCCAGGACCAAGATTCCGTAACTACCTTGCGAATCCTCGACGGGCCCGTCCCGGCTAGCGACGATAGCTCGTTATCGGGGCCTCATGGTAAGTCACGGCTCTTTTCCGATGCTGGATACCTGATTTCCGAGACTTGTTCAAGTATTCCATCCGCTAACATCTTACAGAGCCACTCAACAAAAATGCTGAGAACATGCATACCACAAAATCGATTCATAAGCATACATCCCACCTCACAGCACACGGGCACATGCCCAGATGCGTCAATGCCATCATACCGAGCGGAGGCGCCGAGACGTTAGCGGATGGTAAATCAACAGCTGCGGGAGTCGGGGACATTTCTACTGCCGCGCTCGCCATAGCCATCGCGGCTCTAGTCATCTAGCCATTCAAGGTGGTTGATCAGGACGAAGGGAAGCTCAGTTTGACGGTTCGGCAAGCAGTTCTACCATGTCCATAACAGACGGACCTAGCTCTTTCCTTTATCGATATTTACAAATCCTAGTGAAGAACGCAATGGGTTAGCGGACGGCGTGTATGATAGCCACGGCTGGTGTTGCAACTCTAATAGGTGAATTATTCGAGGGGAAATTATATCCCGCTGGTTGGTTCGTGAGGCTGCATCGAATATAGCTTGGTATAATGATACATTGCGAATCTTCCATTCTCGCCTAGTATTGACAATATTAGTAGCTGGCGTGATATCTCAACGCCCGTGTTTATCTAGTTGATATTGTGATATTTGGTGAGAGATTAATCACCCTTCGAGGGCACTGGCTATACGGCAAGACATACTCAATGAGGCAAACCAGGTTGATAGCCTCAAAGGTTCAGTGGCGACCTCTTGCCGTCGCATACCCGTATATGAGGCCGAGTTCGATATTAAGTGATTACATGCACCTGTCCCAACATTTCCAGTGGAGGGTAAGATGCTAGGCAATGCTTGCTAGTAGATGCAGTCAGCAACATGTGGCAAGAGCCTTTCAGTTTAGGGCTGAGATGGTAGGGTCAGACGCATGGGAACAGGGTCCTGCCGCTCCACCTGTCGCGTGGGTGAGACGGTAAAGTCGTCAGCATATCGTCGAGGCCGTCGTTCCCGTTGCTGCCTACGAGCTCAGGTATTCTTCGAGTATCGTGTACAAGAACAAGAAACAATGACTCCCATCAGGCGGTGAAGACGAAGATGGGACACGGGAACACTTGGCTGCATTTCCAAGTTGCATTCGGCGCAGGCTGGAATGTACAGGAACGAGAGAAACATTTGGAATTAGGCATCTCGAATTTGGGTTCTTGGTGTTTCGACCCGGGAACTCCGAGTAGCCGGGTCCAGACGCCGGTGGGATCATGCGTCGTCGGATAGCTCGCGTTGTCGCGTCGACAGCAAGTCATACGCCCGGGGTCGTCGCGATATCGGATTGCTCCCGTGTTTCGGGGTCCGGGTCTATCGGTCTACATTGGCTACGAAATCGCACCGCAGTCCTGAGCATATCGCGGCTCATCCCGAATCCTTCCGTTCATTATGAATTGATAATGTCCATTTTCTCTTTCGGGGTCGGAATGGGCTCGGGGGTAATGCCAGCCCTGCCGCAGCTGAGGTATGTAATTCGATCGAGGTGCATCGGGTAGGTACCTAAATTACCTTATGCAAGCCGACTTTTAGCGTGGTCCCAGGGCTATGGTATAGGGCACACCTATCGGGCAAGCGGGAATGATGTCATCTCGATCAGTAAGAGTTTTGGGGGTTTTTATGTGTCGAGCTGACAATTACTCGGCAGCTAGGAGGTACCTACTATTCCGTATGTAAGGCAGTATTACCAAATCAGCCAAGGTAAGGCTACCCCAAGGGAGAATATTCTTGCTGACTTCCATGCATGCATTTAATACATGTCAAGGGAAAGCGGGTGGGTACATGTACATGCGTTTTATGCGTTATTGATGCATCGGCAACCACGCCTTGGTATAGTTATGGGATCCAATCAGAAGGAAGGAGATTCAATTCGTCTATCTTAGGTACATACATTAGCTCAAATGCTATTTTCATCTATTTCCCAACCTCATCGCCGAGTCTAGCTCATCAGTATCATATTGAAACTTTTCCACCACGCTCCCTGCCAGGCCCCCTTTTAAGGTCGAGATTTAATGTCTTGTGGAATTTAGCTTCTAATTCTCAAGGTGCCTCCTAAATTTCTCTATAATAGCCACCTAAGTCTCGTGCGCTATAAGGAAGCCATGAGAATTGTAAAAATATACCAGAGAGCCTCCTCAAGTTTCCATCGAATCAGAAAAAACGAGCTGTTCTATAATCTGTGCCTCAGCAGCAAGGCTAGAATCGTCAGGGGCCCATTTTCGTATTTTTGTAAGCACCATGTCCTGGATTGGTTGCATATGGGGGACATAAGTATGCAAGGTGGGTGAATTATCTGCCAACCATAGCATAATTAGGCATGCCAGACAACTCTGTGAAATGGTCCATAGGTATGGAGAACGCTTGTCAATCATATCCACCGCATTGTAAAGGTAGGTAACGCAAGAATCGATACAGGCCTCGCACTTTTCCAAGAAGACAGGCGACTCGCCGTATGGATCAGGACTTAGAGCCGAAGATCCCGCTGGGGATTGGGCTTCCTGTTGTCGGCAGACCATCTGAAGTAAGAACGGCTGATAAATGATGTGCCTCGCAGCGTAGTACCGAAGCCTGAGGACTCGGGCACGATCGTTTGGTAGTGGAAGAGTCCCTTTCAGAGGTCTTAGGTAGTCCGGTATGGAGATGTACCATTCCTCTAACTGTCTGTTGAGCTCAGTACTAAGAGCTAAAAGTTTCTGAAGACCTAGACTCTGCCATGCTTGGTTTGGTCCCGTGAAACTAGTTTCTGCGAGTTCGGGACCGTAAAGCGAGTTGTGTATACGGTTCAGGAGCCGACGAATGGCATGCTCGGCGATGAAATAAATAATATTCTCGTTATCGGAGGGGTCCGTATTATGTGGAAGCCGCATCCGGTCCCCCAAGGGTTCTATCCCGCTCCGAGGAACGTCAAGCTCGGCGATTCGATCACTGGATAACAGAGGTAAGTATAAAATAAAGAGTAGACTTGCGGCCTATAGTTGTCCTACCATTCAACTGTAAAACATTGCCAAAATGTTCTTAATTCCGCCTCTTCGAAGACAGCACTCGACAAATTATGTTTCCGGCTTCTGTAAGTTAGCTCAGACTATCTTGGTCATTAAGGGGGTATTTATTACCTCTCAACAAGATTTAGAAATAGCCGGGATGCGAACTGCGCCATTCTCCAGCTGTGAAGTGGTCTTCCTAAATGAGCAAAATATGAAGCTGCGAGTAGCAAAGCCTGGCAGATACCTATGCCTGGTCGAAAATCCCAAACCAATTTATGTAGCATTATTCTCAGTGCCGGTTGGAAAAACTGAAGACCCAGCGCTTCATCATCCTCATAGTTGCCCTCCCGGTCTGAACTTATCGTACCCAACGCGTAGACGCAAAAGCATATCGAAGTTCCAATATCTTCCATATCCCTTTCCTGAATAAGCTGATCCTGCCACGATTTGAACATATTCGGCGTGAATAGCGGATGGTGAGGGTGAACATTTCGGAAATAGTTTTCGGCTAACGCATTAAGACCATCGAGGTCAAGAGATGGCCAGACTAATGGGCTATCATAGAGACTCCCAAGTAGTCCTGGTAAGGGGAACTTCTCTTCGATCTCGAAGAAATATTCTCTTGGATAGTCTCCGAGTAGATCACGCACCTGGGGCAGCGAAAGGAGCGTGGTTGTCAGAGTAGCATGACCTTTTGGGATTAAAAATTGCGGCGAATCTAACTGGGGGTCTATTCCAGCAGACGTGGAAGGCAAGTAGTCTGAGTGCTGTTGGTAAGCGGTAAAATAATCGGCCTGGCTCGGAGGGTACGAAAGGGGGCTAGAACGAGTACTGAGCTGGTTAATCTGCTGGCTTTGGTGTTCGAGCAGCGATTCTATTCGGGCAAGCCGATCGATGACTGCGTTTGGACTCGAGTCTTCCACTCTACGATTTAGGGTTAGCATGGGCGCCGCCTTGAGCTAGAGAGATGTTAGAGAGAATACCTATCGAACGGTAGCTCCTTGTATACACAATCGGCATTTGAATCCTTGCAGGTAGAACACGGTTTCTTCCCATCGCACCTCCGCTTACGATGCCTGCTCTATGTTAGGTCGAAAGGGATTTGAATAGCCAGAGGGAGTAAGTACCTGCAGAAGTCGCAAGCAAGGAGTGCGCCTGGTTCTCGGTAAGTTAGTAGCCTAACGATATATCGGGGAATGAATGGGTAGCATACGCTTCCTTGTGTAATTCATGTGGCAAATCCGAGGAGCTGGCTAAGATGGAGATACCCCCTGAATTAACTCTTATCGTCTAGGCGAGGGTAAGCATCAACTAAGATAATAAGGTCCAGCAAGTCGAGCGCGTAAAGGCGGCTGCTTCCGTTCAAATACCCTGGCCGAAGAGGCTGACCTCTGTTATAGTCGACCCAATAACTGGGAACGTAGTATAAAACCCTTGGGTCTTGCCGGGGGTGAAGACTGGATATTGGGTAGCTAATGTCACACTGTCACTCGTCGACTTCTTCATAACCAAGTAGCAACGAGTTTCTCTGACCGCCACGCGGGCGAACGCTAGACCAATTATGCTGATGTCTAGTCGCTGATCCTGACCAACAAGAAGTTTCTATACCCAGATGTTGAAAGCACGGCACCTCAAGACATACCAGGCACTTTCGCAGACGTGACAGACGTATTATAGCAGTCACGTAGGTAGAGACTTGCATAATAACTACTTGAGAAGGGCCGTATGTTATCGAAAATGGTTAAGCCCCCTTATGGGGCAAATGAAACGTTGGAACACTATCCACTATACCTACGCCTCACCTTCGTCTTCCAAATTTGACTAAATACTACCAGGTCGTAAGAATAGAAGTGAGAACGATCTTAACTATAGGTCAACACCACCGATGCCCCAAATAGGATGTTGGTGGTTACGGGAAGACTCATACTTCAACAGAGCTAGCAAGCTTACTTGAGCCATACGTCATTAAGGCTAGTCAAAACTTAAGAGATTATAAAAACTGCGATGTTATGTGTTATGGGATGTTTTTGTTAAGCATCGAGATAGGGCTGAATAGGGCGGAAAGTTACCCCTTGTGATGATTCTTAGGGTTTGGGGATAATACAATATGTACCTAAGTATAAGCGTGGCTGTGTTTTGTACATAGAAGTACTAAAGACCTAAAGACTATTTGAGTTTGACTGTTATGTTAGCGTATTTGAGCCGGGCACTAAAAACGGCTAACAGCGGGACGCGCGGGGGGTTCTAAGCAAAAAATTAAAATGGAGTTTAAGTTAGGAGGATACCTAGGTAGTTACTGGCTGGGGGAAGCATCTTCAAGACATTCCAAGCATAGAACGCAGGTTACTCCGAGTCCGCAAATATTAAATGGATCAAGTGATCCATCGACGACGCATCTCCGGCCTATGCCTGACCTACCCTGCAAGTTTTTAATGCCGGGACTTGGACTAAAACACCGGACGGTCTTCGGTAGGTGGATCGGGTTGAGCGTTTGATGTTGAATATAATCTTGGCCTGGGTATGTAATAGGCTGGAGTATTTATTCATATCCATTGGTTCGTCATATTCTGACATACATATCCCGTACCCTCGGGTACGCGACGACATTCCATTCGAATTACGTGAAGGTATGGCAAAAGGTAATGATAGATGCCGTATGGATGAAAAAGGATGTGAAGGTAGCCGAATTTGTACGCTCGTAATCAGCAATCATGTGTCTACATGCAGGATAAAACACATAGATCGCAAATGATTACCTATCAGATATGCTTTATACGTCAGTGATTACCTATTTTAGGTGCACGTAAAGAATAAGATACTTAGGATAGGGTATTAAGAAAAAAGGTCTCGAAAGTTCGGGAAGGAAGAAAGAATCAGTACCAGGTAATAGGGTAAATGCTGTGTCAGCTGGATTAGCTAATGTATTATGTTACGCCTGCATTTTATTCCTGCAGGTTATATGTACCTACCGCTACCTGCCTGTGGACGTTACCTGTGTGATGCGGCTACTGATATTAGAACTGGATACCTGGTCACAAACACCGAACCCGGTCCACTTTTTTACAAAGCCAATCCTTCCGAACTGTTTCCTACGATGTTTTGGAATTCCAATCGCCGTAGATCCGGTGTCATTCGGCATCGCTAACGCCGCGAGCCGGGACGCGATATCTCTATTCAGCCGACTGTCTACCTTGGGGACGTCGGAATAACAGACTCCGCTATTATGATAGCCGACGATGCCGGAAGACCGACAGCTCAGCTTTTAACGGAATCCTGCTCCTATTTTAACTACTATTTCAACTGCCCCTCGCGTCCTTTCTCATAACCATTTTAGTGTTTCCTTCTTCTTCGAAATATATGAAACTATAAACTCATTTGGTGAGTTTTTATCTCTATTTCACCTAGCCGAACTTCCCTGGAGAATTTCCCTGAAGAACTACCTACAATGTATGCTGTCGCCTTTGGCGTCTGGAGCTGGACATTAGAAATTAAACAGCATGTTTAAGCTATGCGGGCAAATTGAACCTCATACGATTATATCATATTTGTTGACTCTAAACTATTTCAATTCCGTATCCCCGTATGCTCCGGTTAGAAGCTTAGCCGCCTATGTTTGGCCGGCGTTACCGAGTTTTATTGCCCGGGCTATTTTGGGAATATCCAACGAAACTAAATGATACAACTTACTCATTCCTGTGGGTGGTGTATCGATGTCCAATATACCGGCTTCGGTAATGATATTGGTTCTCAACACAATCGGTTACGGCTATCGAAATCCTACCTACGCTCGCTCGGGAGGAACCCCTGAGTCTAAGAGATAGGGTGTCACTACGGTGGACACGTTACAGTGGTATACTTGGGGTGACCGAAGAAGAGTCACTAGGTTGACCCTAGTGGAAATATATCTGCGTCACTGTCGGAACAGCCGCCCAGTGCCAAGTTCACCATTAAGATTGGGTATAAACATGGGACTTTTTTACGGGATAGCTGGACGTGTCCCCGATCCCATTGAACCACCAAGGCGTGGAATACCGGAACACATTCCCCAAATATGCTGAGAACGGGCGGAGCTGGCTAGTAGCTAGATGAATAAGGCGTTACTGGGTTTTCAAGATGGCTATATAAAGCGATCGCTAACGAGCCTTTTAGAAACACTTAGAGTCAGGATCCTATCGGCGACTGGTTCGAAAGCACGGTGAAAGGGGCGATCTCGTGGTACATTATCGACTAAAATACAGTGACTAACTTCACTCTATCGGCATTACTACTAACAGCGCCTCCTTTCTATCGAGTTCTCGGGTATCGTCCTGGCCAGTCTTACATCGACCCTCATACCCGCCATCCAATAATATGGCTTACTGGACTTCACCAAGCGGAAAGTGGCAGCTCACCTGCTTGACATTAACCAACTCTGGTATATACTGTTCACCGCTATGTTGCTGATATAACGAGTAACAAATGGCAGTCTCGATGGCACACTTTGGTTATGACCAGGTTGTTACTACCCGTGTTCTCCGTATTGATGGTTAGCTTACAGCTAACCCAGGGGATCTTTGCTGGCGCCCTCATATCGGCAGATTTTATCGAGACTTTTCCAGAAACCAAGGATCCAGCTATCTCGGGTATTACGTCCAGTTGTTTCTCTGTGGGTCGTGACGCTTGACAATGCTAATCACGGATGCTGACCATTGCATGAGCTCGGTGCTTTCTTCGGCTGCCTCGCATCATTCCTACTTGGTGATAGGTTGGGAAGGAAGAAGTCCGTCTATGTTGGGCTCGCGGTCAACGTTATTGGAGTAGTTCTGCAGATTGCAGCTTACCATTTGCCGCAGATGATCGTTGGCCGCATCATCAATGGGTTTGGCAGTAGGTTGACCCCTGGAGACTTAAGAGCTCTCCACTCTTTGCTCGCCCATTTGTTCGAGAATCTGCTTAAAATTCTATCCCGTTGCATACGGCTCCATCTAGTCACTTGCCGTTCCGTATATGCTAACCCCTTAGTCCAGTGGGGATCACCTCTTCAACTTGCCCTGTATTCGTTGCGGAGGCCTCACCTACCAATATTAGGGGTAAACTTGTGGTGCTAGGTTCGTTGTGCATTACGGCGGGATTCTGCGTAGCAAACTGGATGAGTTACGCTTTATTTGATAGCAATGGAGCATTCCAATGGCGATTCCCCTTAGCTTTCCAGCTCGTATACGCAGCCGTTGTAGTAACGTTTCTACCGCTTACCGTTGAGTCACCGCGATGGCTATTGCTACGAGGAAGATTCGAGGAGGCTCGAGTAGCTCTCGCTCAACTCCGAGGATTATTACATAACCTTGATGATAAGAATTTGAAGGACGACCTTAGGTCTATCCAGAGTGCCCTTGAGAAAGAACGCGAGGCTCGTGTGCCTATGGTGGATGCTGTACTCGGTCGAGATCCACTGCAGAATGTTCGCCGTTTGGTGCTGAGGCAAGTCGCCTTATAGACACACCGGGCTAATCCTCCATCATGCTGACCCTTTAAAGCTGCGGGACGCAGCTAATGCAACAGTTCAGCGGCGTTAATGCCTTGGGCTACTACCTTCCCACCCTCTTAATTGAGTCGGTAGGAGTTTCTAGTTCATATGCAAGGTTATTGGCCGGAGCAAATGCTAGCCTATACTTGGGTGCGGCTTTTCTATGTCTGGTTCTAGTCGACCTGATCGGAAGACGCAAGTAAGGCCTATACTCCACATCTCTCTCTACCTTACCGGCAAGTAGTAATGCTTATGGTTCCATAGACTTATGATGTATGGTTCTATTACGACTGGATCTTGTTATTTCGTTGCCTCTATGACACTGAGAGAGGCTACTCTTCATCCGGAAAACAAGTCTGATCTTGGCAAAGTAACGGTGGCTATGTTCTTTCTTTACTACTTCTGCTACGGTACCAGCTTTGCCAAGGTCCCTTGGGTTTATAATTCTGAAATCAATAGCCTCGGGTGGCGGACAAGGGGAGCTGCCGCCGCCACCGCAACGAATTGGTTGAGCGGGTTCGCCATAGTACAGTTCACAAAGGTCGGTGTGGATAATCTTGGATGGAGGTTCTACCTTCGTAAGGGCTCGTCTCTACCGGACACTATGTCAGGGTCTAACCTTGTGCACTAAATAGTCTTTGCGGTATTCTGCTGGTCATACCTACCTATTGTATTCCTCTTCTATCCAGAAACCTCCCTTCGAACACTCGAAGATATGGACGAGATATTCGAGCACCATAGAGGTCCATTCGTGTTCAGGGACAAAGTACTTACCCAACGACACCGCCCGCAAGAATTTACAGAGGCCGAACAGAGGCGCATTACCGAAACCTCTCCTCTCGCTGAGGCGTTCCGGAGTGTTTAAATTATATTATGCCGTCCAATATTCACCATAGATGTCGACGTACTACCGCTGATGGATAGTTTTAATATGCCGTATGATTCTTCGTACGTGGGCAATTCGCTTCTACCCTATGATGCTACGTCTTGGACATAGCATCCGCTTAAACAAAGGGACGAGTGGACACGATGGAAGTAATGATATACTTGAACAATCCTCGTTCTATCTTTTCAACATATCTCTAGCCTTGAGCATCGTCTATCTCTTTTAGTCGGCACAACGATACATCTAGCACGAACAGAGCAGCATAGGCTATTTTGACGCCTTTCATTATCTCCTAAAATGCGGATTTGACACATTCATAAACCCGAATAGTCCGACTAGCTAGGAATTAAATTTACGCCAAGGATTTATGACTCTTCTCTTAACCTGCCTATGTATTTCTAGCTCCTTCAATCACACATAGCCTACTTCGAATGAGGTCAGATAGTGTCACATGGACTGACTGCTTGCCTGGCCATCACCTAAGCTTGCTATTTAGCCTACTTGAAATATTGGCTCATAAGCTATGAGTTACAACTCCTTGTATCCCTCATCTACCTTTGCTAGGAACATGTTCAATTGTGCATGGATGATACTGAGTACCTAGGTAGGTTAGATATTTAGGAGTATTGCTTCGCATCCTGGACGTTATGTACGTCGTAAAGTCGTAAGGGAATACACTCTGTATGAGTATTGGATGTGTCCCAATATCTGATATATAGTACTTCTCTCTAGATTATTATAGTTCTAGCGAACCAGTAGCCAGATTGATCCCACTCTAGTATAACCCGAGGTGGTTTGTCAAGTGGCAGGTGCCGGTCCAGTCTACTCGAGGCTCTGGCCTCTTGTGGATTTCCGTGTGGGGTCTATTCCAGCAGCCCCTGGCGAACTGTGATCACGCTCGGTCGTCATAATAGTACATACAATAGTTCACAAATGGACAAACCCGTAACTTTCCCCAATTTGAAACCGTCTTTCCGAACGCCAACAATCCTTGATCGATTGTGAATGCATCTCTTCTTACACTGTATTCCGTCAATACATAATCGAGATTAGATCTCGCCGAAGTCGTTTGCCTTGCTGGATACGAGGAGACCGACGATCAGACCGAAGAGACCTAGGACGGAACTGAAGATTTCGATGACGAGAATTTTGACGAAACTAACAGTTTTTGTTAGCATACTATATGGCCGAGGGGAATGGAGCTGAGGCATACAGAGAAGGATCCGCAGCATCTGCTAGAGCAGCTCCACTGCCGTTGATGCCAACAGCAACACCGCAAACCAAGTTGCATCCTCCTACCGTCACGCCAGCCCAGAACAAGGCGAAACCGGTATAGTAACTGTTGGCGTCGAACATTTCGTCGGGGCCCGCGTAGTTGACCTTGGAGGAGAATACGATGGCCATGATGACACCGTAGATGGCAACAACTTCGCAGAAGATGATGGAGATTAAGTTCTTGGTTCGGATTCGAGGGGCCTTAACACCACCACCGAGGATGGAAGAACCCGTGATAAAGATACCCCTGAGGACTTGTCAATCGTGATATATTCGATTGGGATGATAGCTTGAGCTGGGGGCGTGCCATACCATGCTGCGCCGACGACTGATAGACCAATGCAAAGCGCAATACCTAGATCCGCCCATACGTACGGCGATACCGTTTCGAGGAAAGCTCCGACCTAGAAGATACATGTAATTAGGATATGGTGTAATTATTTATTATTTATTGCGTGTTACCGAGACGAACATTAAAGGATTCACCGCTACCGGTAAAGAGCATATCTATAAACAATCAGCCTCTCAATTTCAATCTTAATCTCAATCTCACGCCCTTCAGCGCGAATGTTTTACATACACAGTCCAACAACTGTTATGAAAGAGGTGAGACCTCCAGCGCCGTATGTTAGAGCGCCCATATTTGTAGAATTCGGATGCGAGTAATTGTTTGGTAATTCCGGGGGTAATTTTGGATGGAGGTTGTCGACACAAGCTCAGGGGAGCTAATGAATGTTTAAGGAAAGTCGCGATTGACGTTTATTAGCAGGCTGCCTTTCTACGAGCTTGGAGAGCTTTGGGGTTGCAGCCGCGCAGCCCGTCGTTACATCCCTGGAAAGCGTCAGGTGGGTCCCGGCCCGACCTAGCTCCGGTCTTTCAACTTTAAATGCAATTAAACATGAATATTTCCTAATTCGATTAACTGTAATATTACGTGATCAATTATCACCCCGCCTTATCTGGAAGTAAATGAGTCAATTTGATGGAGGGGCACTTGAATTCGAATAGCTTCAAAAAATTCATATCGAACCCTTCCATTGTTTACTTGACGCCAAATCCTACTTCTCAACACCGTATTTCTCTGCGACCCTGTCTGAGTCGCAGCTGGGTAAAAAGCCATCAAGCTGTCACTTTTTCGCGCTATTCGCCCTCTTTCACGAGGCATCTCCTTCCGAACTTTCACCATGGCCGCCCTTGATTCCCAGAAGCTCACTCCTACCGAGGAGACTGAGGTTCAACAGTGGATCACCACTTCGGAGCGGCTGAAGAGCTCGCCGTCGGACACATCAATCCTTGAGAAGCTCAACTCTCACCTGACTTCCCGAACCACCCTTCTCGGCACCAAGCCCTCTAAGGCTGACGTCGCCATCTACGAGTCTCTGGCTCCTACCGTTAAGTCATGGACCCCTGAGCAACGAACCGGCGAACAAGGCCACCCTCATATCCTCCGCCACCTCGACTTTGTCCAGAACTCTGGCATCTTTGGTCTGAATGTCAACGATGCGGACAAGATCAAGGTTGACCTTGACGAGGTCCTCTACGTCAAGCCGCCCGTCGACGCCAAGGCTGAGAAGGAGCGCTTAAAGAAGGAGAAGGCTGCTGCTGCTGCTGCTGCTGCCGCCGCCGGTGGTAGTGATGGTGGGGTTGCTGCGACGTTAGTTGACCGAACCAAGGCAGCGGCCGAGGCTATTAAGGATGCAGCTATTGAAGCTGGTAGCAAGGCCGCAGCCGCAGTGGGCGTTGCCACCGAGAACCCCAAGAAAGAGAAGAAGGAGAAGGCTCCCAAACCCCAAAAGGCTCCAGCCGTTACTACGCCCCCGTCGCCCCATCTAATCGATCTCCGAGTGGGCCATATTCTGAAGGCTATCAAGCATCCGGAAGCTGACAGTCTATTTGTTTCTACGATTGCCATGGGCGACAAGCCTGGCACCGAGGATACCACCGAGTACGAAGGCCAGGTCTGCCGGACTGTCTGCTCTGGCTTAAACGGTCTAATTCCTCTAGAAGAGATGCAAAACCGCAAGGTTGTCGTCGTCGCCAACCTGAAGCCTGTCAAGATGCGGGGAATTAAGTCATGTGCCATGGTCCTAGCCGCGTCGCCGAAGTTGAAGGAGGGCGAGGTGGATGATCACAAGGGACCTGTCGAGCTAGTTACTCCGCCTCCCGACGCGAAGACCGGTGAGCGGGTGTGCTTTGACGGATGGAGGGGCGAGCCCGAGGGCGTTCTCAACCCCAAGAAGAAGGTTTGGGAGACATTCCAGCCCGGATTCACTACAACGGACAACTTGGAAGTTGCTTTCGACGGTCACCTGGTCAAGGAGGCGGGTAAGGAAGAAATTGGAAAGCTAACTACGGCTAGTGGCGGCGTGTGCACAGTCCCAAGTTTAAAGGGGGCCACAGTACGATAATCGCAAAATTTACACAGCGGTCTAGAAATAAAAAATTAAGCTGCATTGAAGAGCTACAGACTACATTTCTTTTCCCCTCAGTTCCCTAGATCTTCCTCTCATACTAATTCTCAAGAGCACCGGGCGTGTTCCACGGCGGGGTCTCGATCGTCACGGATGTAATAGTAGGTGTACCAGCACATCCGGTCGTGTAAGTGATCCATTCAGTTGGGACAGGGCAAGAATCGCAAGTCGGACACGCGCCATTTGCTACATACGATGTTGACGTCGTCGGGCAGCAGTCCGTAGAGCATGGCACGGTGACGCTTGAGACCTTGATGTAGAGCGGGCAGACTACATCTGTTGGCCTAGATGCGCATGATGGGGTAGGGCAAGTAGCTGGGCATGTAATTAGTAACTTGCATGGTAAATGCTAGTGTGCAAGAAGAGACTTACAGGACTGGATCGTTCTGGTGTAGGCGTAGCATTCGTGAGTCTTTACCCAAGCAGTGGTGTGCTCAAAGTCGTCCATCGTAGTCGAGCAGTGTCCAGGGATCGTCGGGCTAGGTACTTCTGCTACAAGCAATGCTACTGCTACATTGCTGTGATGTTTCTATGTTAACCTCTGTTGTTGTCGAGGTAGATGTTATGAACAGGCGGTGACTTACCAGAGAGCCAGCAGCGCGGCGGCTCCAGAGATGAGTGCTCGAGGTGAGAACAACATTGTTGAGATGTGACTACTTCGTATGTAGATGAATTTTGCTTGATGGGCTGGTTTGAGTAAATCAATCTTATGATATTGTTGATGAAGGGAGGAGTCGAGCTTCTCTTTTTATACCTAATACGTATATGCGTGTACGTACATATATATAATATACAGCCATAAACACGGGCCTCGACGTCACTCCCTTCTCCTATCCGTTGCCAAGAGGAAGGAAGAAGAAAAAAAGCAAATCACAAGATCAAGCCAGCCAAGGAGGCTTGGGAGGGGGGCTGGCTGGCATAAAGGGAGCAGGACTCCGTTCGTCCCTTCCGCTTTCCTCGCTATTTCTCGAATGAGAAAGCTGGGGGCCGGTGTACATATTTCATCTGGCGTTGCACGGGGAGATCCTGCTTTCCTGCTACCGTGGTTCGCCCTTTTTATGTATCTACCTTAGGTACCTAACCTAACCTACCTATATATATTTATGTACGCTAGGCAAGGTTATGTATTGTGTATTATGTGTTATGTATTATGTATGTATTATGTACGCCTACGTACATATAATGTAATGCGTGGATCCGGATGACGGCGAGGGTCCAAGCATTGGCAAAAGCGAAAGAAGGATGAAAAGAAATTGAAAAGGAAGAAGAAAAAAATGAAAGTCGTCCCCTGACAGGCTAGAAAGGGGATAATTCTACGATGGCTGAACCGCCTCACCTCAGCCCTACCTCGTATGAGCTCACCGCATCTCGGTCCGGTCTAGAGCGTCGGCGAATAAGACGCGGGGATGGCTGCATCTAGACTGCCGTTTCCAGCTCTCCTCGTTTCTTGGTCTGCATATCGACCAGCCGAGCGAACCGAGAGGAGATACATAGATCTCAAGACGGTGGTCGGTAATTGAGCGCATAGTCACAACACTCGTTCTCCTCTCCCCGCAAAACTACATACATACATACATATCGAATGCGACACATCTAAAAATATATATCTACCTACCTAGGTACCTTAGGTACATACACATACGCGACCCCGGATATTATATTAAACCTAGCTTCCTTCCGGCATTCTGGAATCCCGCCGCGAAGATCCTATATGCTGGTCTAGGGCCTCGCTTACCTCGTAGCTGCAGTGTGATAAATAGCCTCAATATTCTCTCACCTCTTTGGTGTTGCATTGCGTCCTATGCTGAGGTCAGGATAGGAGAAGGGCTGCTGACTTCATTTCGCTCTTGTGTTTGGGAGTACACAGTAGCCTATCAAGTCGTGTTAGGAACGATACTCGGATTTTGGTCTTGTTATGATCGTAAGACATGGATATACCCACGGGAATAGAAAGTCTTGGGTTTGCTCTTTAAAACTGCCGTAGTTCAAATTTTCGACATTGACAATATCCAATATTTTCAGATTGACTGCTGCTAAATTTGTACACCATTGGAGTGGATGACTCTCGCTTTGTTCCCATCCGTCCCTAACTTGTTCCCTAGTCCATTCTCCAAGACTACCTCCTCCCGTGTACTATACAGATTGATACAAGAGCCTCGTATATACAATATAATGCCTCTATGTTCCCAGTCATCCGCTATGCGCTACTAAGCACTTTTTTATCACCAAACGCCCCATGATGCATTCGCTCATATAATGTAATAAACATAACCATAACGCCACCGACTTTCGAGCCATCGTAAAACCTCGGGCTCCTTACCGAGCTCAACCAAGCCCACCCGAGCTCACGAGAAGAAGTACTGGCTATTCCTAAGTCGTGAGACATCGAAATCGCCCTGAGAATACTAATTAGCCTGACGTTCATCTGCTAAACTAAATGCTGGAATAACTAACCTTTTTAGGGACCTCGGGGAAAGTAAGTGGAAGCCACACGTTGATCATTGTAGGTTTAGGCTTGGCCTTTGCTTTAGCTGCTTTTTGACTGCTACTGCTGAGCTCTAATTCGAAACGGCTCACGTTTACCCCATTTTGCAACTGCTCCATCGCCTCTGCCGTCCGGGAATTCGTGTCCGACTCGGTAGCTTTATTGGCCTTGGCCTTGACGGGTTCTGAAGCTAGTGCTAAATCGTCCTGGTCGTTTTCGTCGACTGTTTGCATTGTGTTGGCTAGTATCTCGTTTACATCGGGAATGTCGCCTAATGTCATGCCTTCCATATCTTCCGCACTGGATAAGGGCTGAGGGGCCGACAACTCTTCGAAGATGCTAGCGGGCGTCTGCATTTCCTGGCCTTTCTTGACCTCCTCGGGGTCTGAGGATGCTAATAATCGCATTCTCTCTCGCTCCTGGAGGAGTTCATCTTTCAAACTCAATCTACTCTTCTTGCGAAGTGCAGTAATCAATTTTCCAAGATTACTACCTCGTTCGACCTTAGATAGATAGAGAGAACCTTTGTATCGGGCCTCAAATTCGGATGCAAGGCGCCCGATGACATCTTCGCTGTGTATACGAATAAAACTATCCCGAAGCACGTCGTTCATAACATCAACATCAGAAGCGTGTGTCCAGAAGGAGTCGTGTACAGCCGCAAATGTGAGACCACGCTCATCACACTGTAATGCGGAGAGGAGCATGTGGCTAGCATCCAAAGAATGGATGAAGTTGGGGGGGAAAGCCTGCAATTGCTTCCGTCGATTGACGGGATCCGAACGCTCGGGAACCTGCAGGGTAAGATCCTGCATCGAGGTATTGATCACACGAGTTCCATTTTTGCGGTATGGTTGGACAATAGGCATGCGGAGGGGGGTCGTCCAGACGACTGTCGATCTGAATTGACTGAGAACCTCATCGGTAGTGGTCTTTGGCTTTGATGTACTCGCCCTACCTGTTGTCTTAGGCGCTGGCGCTTCTCCATTGGCAATTTGATCCATCTGCTCTGGGGTAAGCGCACGGCAGACTCGGCCGGCACACTCTCCGAGCCAGTATTGAATATCATGAGCTCCGCGAAACATAGTAGACAGAGCCTTAAACACTTTCGTAGCGACGTAAGAAGCGAGAATAGCTACCGGTATGCCTGTTTCTTGTCGGATATTGGGATAAGCCGCATCGAGTTGTTTTTGTACTTGGGCTTTGGCGCCAATGAAGGTAACGCCGTACACATTGGTCATGACAGTTTGCTTCACCACTTTTCTTGTTATTTTGCCATCAACCGCCTTCGCGATGATATTGTCAGACTCTTCTAAATCCTTCGCGATTCCTTCCTTTACTAGGTCGGCTACTGCAGAATACACATCTGCGGGGCGCTCTCCGGGTTCCAGGTTCACTTGTTGGGCACCCCAAATATCACCACCGAGAGCCGCATAATGCTGCAGTCCGTTGCATGTCCCGTCTTGGTGAACTGGGAGGTGAGACACGAATTTAGTGGGATCGGGAGACTCGAGAGCTGCCTTCAGCTCGAAAGAAGTCGCCAGGCATTGCCATGCATCCTCGGCCTGGAGCCACCACCGGTTCCCTGTTAGAGGATTGGCGACAGAATCGTATATGTCGGCAAGGTGATCCGTCACGAACGCTTCTCGTTCCTTCAAGCTCGCCTTATCGTAGCCAAAAACATTTGCCAGGTGAATCTTAAGCCATCGCAACCCATTCTCGCCAAGCTCCTTCCCCTTGGCAAAACGAAGCAAGCCTCGAACATGGTCTGCGCCCATATGGTTGAGATAAGTTGGGATCGGATAAGCTCGACCCCGGAAGTCCATGTTATGCGGGAAATAAAAGGTCTGGTCTTTGAAAGCCTTGGCAATTTCAAGTTGGAAATTCATGAAACAACGCTCGGAGTGTAGACCTGACTTTTCGTTCTCTACAGCCTTCACGGCGTTCAGCCATTCCCGCCGCTGCAGAGGATCATCAGATGCTTCTGGTTCTGGGGGTACGGGAATTTGGGGATCCAATGGAGGAATGTTCGCTATCGGCTCGCCACTGTTCCACGCTTCAAGCATTACATCGAAGACGGGTCTGTTAATTCGCCATCCTGTTCGACCAAGAACATCCAAACCTTTGCTGACCTGCTCCATGTCTCCCCTCTGCACGGCTGCTTCGGCATACACCCTTTGGTCCTTCTCGCCGTTCTTGATTCGTACAAGCTGGGCGGGATACTCAATGAAGCCCCCTTTGTCGAATTTCGTCCAGGGTTCCGGCTCAACAAGCATGGGTAGGTGCCTAGCAAGGAAATCCGCAGGAGGCTCTCGCTTCATAATTTCAACCAAGAATTTGTTCGGCATGACTAGCCCAATCTTCTTTCCTTTTCTGTTTATCGTAGTATGAGCCATAGCGGGTTGCCGTTGACTAACGAGAGTCTTGGTTTCGGGGTGCTCCCGGACCACATTCATTTTTGCGGTATCTATCAAAGCAGATAGTAGAGCAACGCCGACCTTAGTTTTAATTAAAATAGGCCACGACTTAACCTCGAAGGAAGGCGGCTCCACGACGTTAGATTCCGTCTTAGAATAGGATGTGTCGGCCGTGTCGGCCGTGTCGAACGTCTCGGTCGGTGGCTGAGCTGTCGATGAGCTTATTGCACTCTTTTGTTTCAGTTTTAGTCTGCTATTCCGGACTTTGTCTTTACGCTTAGCTTCCTCTACGCGTTTCTGCTGTATTATATGTCTAATATCCTCCTCTACCGCCTTGGAGACATGGCTGAGCAAAGTAGATAGCTGAATACCCCCGTCGACACCTACAGATGACATGGCATTTAAGACGCTTATAATTGTGACTGCGGCCAGCCTCGTCGGTGTTGATTGCCTTAGGAACGGGGCATATAAGCAGCGATCCCGATCCGCGTCGTTCTTTCTTTCACGGGTTTCTGACTCTTCAAATAGCGAAAATTCCTCTTCTAGCCTGCTTTCTAGAGCACATTGCCATTCATATAGCTGGGAATTCAAGGCGCTCGTAGACAACGATGTGTTCAAGCCCATTTTCATGAGAGTCTGGTTTTCTTCTCTCCATCGGTTGATAGCAGAATCAACACAATCATGCTCTAGCCGAGCCTGAATTTCCCGGCGCTCTGCGTATGTCAGCTTCGAAAGATCCCGTCCCTCAACCTTGGAAAAGAAAGACAAGACGCCGCGTAGTGATTTGAGGCCTAATCCTTTCTGAGGTACGGCTAAAACTTCGGGCGTATCATTAATCTCTGCTTTCATCTCAGAAAGGTTTACCGGTTCAGCTGAGCTAACTTCCGTGTCTAACGACTGTGATTCCTCGTCTTGTAGCGAAGGCCCCCACTCTTCCAAGAGATCAGAAGCGGGCTGATAAATGCTGGCTATGATGCCGACGTCTTGCTGGGTCAAAATATCCTCTTCCGATAAGACTTGATATATAGCATCTCCAGGCATCAGATCCATGTACCGGGCCACAAGCCGTTCCAGTCGTGGCCCTTGGGTCGATAAGAGCGAAATCTTCAACATGCAAGCGACGGTCTCGGGTGTTTGAGGAATATTTTTACCTCTAATATTTAACTCGTACCATTTATGTAAAGACTGAGCCCATTCAGAGTCTGGTTGTTCAAAAGCTTTGTCAATGGCTGCGCGAAGGTATTGGTTGTGAAGCTCAGTCAGGGAAGAACCATGTAGGGCGCCGCTGTCACTAAGGCGAGTAATGACAAGAGCCGCTCTATCTAGCTTTCCGACCTGTAAGCACGCATCAAAAACTGAAATCATCTCGTCGACACCACCAGGTATGCCATGATTATTAATCCTGGAGCGAGGAAAGTGTTCCTCTGTGGGTTTGACGAGCAATGGCGAAGAAGGGTCGAAGGGTCGTATATCGTATAGACGAGGAGGAGATAGTGGATACATGTAATTTTTAGGGAGATGGTCGTAACGAATTTCATTTTCTTGTATAGGGTCGTTTATAGCCGTAGCCAAAGACCTCTGGAAGATTGACCCACGAGTGTCCTGCGAGCTCTTCCTCCTCCTCGGTAACAATTCGACTCGGGTAGTTAAAAGTCTACGACTCGACGCATAAAAGGAATAGAGGGGCGGGTGTCTGGCAACTAATTGTTGTCGCCTCACTGCACTGAGTCGAGGTAAGGGAAGGCTCTGTCGAGCCGGAAGAGGTCGCACAAGCATCGCGACGGCTTGGGTATGGGTATGGGTATGGGTATTTTGGAGGAGGGGAAAAAGAAAAGCTATTCCCAACAGGCTCTTTTAAAAGCTGCCGAGAATTTTGCTGAACAATTGTTATAACATGAAGTCTGAAGGAATAGGTAAAACCGACGAGGCGATCCTATATGCACGAACCCAGCCTATGTAGGAAGAAAGACTCGACTCGAGGTCGAATTTGAACAAGATGATTAAGTATTTGGGAGGCGAGCTTTTTCACCAAGATCCAGCTCCGAAATTTTTGCCATTGCGAACGGTTTTTTTTTTAGTCCCCCTCAGTTAGGCTTAGATAAAATGATAAGTGCGATAAGAATTGATAGACATCTGAATTGGTAGCTTCTAATTGGCTTGAAGCTTACAAATGCCCCACTTAACAAATCTAACAAGCAAATTCGCCTCAGTTACATCCTACCTTAGGTAAGGTTAGAGGTTATCAGGTACATGTATCACATGGTCCACTATGAGGTCGCAACTTTAGAACCTTACCTAACGTCTTAACTTGCGGACTTAGTCTTATTCCGAATTATTACATCAAAGACTGGATGACAGTCAAATTCATTGACTCTAGGTACTCGACGTCATCCAGCCGACGACAACATGGTAACTCGACATGCAGTAGCCACAGTGGCCTGCTCTCACTGCCGTCTGGCTGCTTTGAAATTATTTGCCTGTTCTACGAATACTTTGCCCACTATAAGACCTAGCCCTTTGCAATGTCGACAACGACTAGTCACTGTGATGCCAATTCGGCCATTCTCATCTCGGTTATCTCAAAATGACATCTCAAATAGCGCGGCGTCGACTGAAGCAGGCCAAGAAGAGGACGACATAGTTGACGATCAGGGTCATGAGACCGCCACGGGGAGCACGAGTCTAAATAGTACCCCTTGGTATCTTCAAGTCGAGCCTCCAAGACATGTGGCTACTATTGAGCCGCCGCCATTACCGGAAGTTCCTTCAGACTCTCCAGAGATCATTGGCTCATTATTAAAATATGTTTCCGAGGAGCTGGGCCTTGACGAACTTTCTCTATTAGATCTTAGAGAACTGGACCCCCCAGCAGCGCTGGGCCCGAACCTTTTTATGCTATTCGGCACAGCACGGAGTGAGCGCCATCTCAACGTATCCTCTGGGCGGCTGTTACGATGGCTACGAGCTAAGCATCATATCTGGGCTCACGCTGACGGCTTGCTCGGACCAAATGAGCGTAAGACAAAGCTGCGTCGGATAGCTAAGCGGGCGAAGCTCCTGGGAGGTGTTCAGGACACCGATGACGGCATTAGAACTGGCTGGATATGTGTCAATTTAGGGACTATAGACCACGGCAAAGAGGAGTCTGCGGTTATTGCCGGCGATGGGCGCGTTGCTGGTTTCGGTGCCGCTCAAGATGGATCCACAATTGTCGTTCAGATTATGACAGAATCTCGAAGAGCCGAAATGGGCCTCGAAGCTTTGTGGAAACGAAGCATAGGTCAGCCCGTCGACATCGTCGTAAAGTCGGAGGATAAGCCCGTAGAACCGAGTCATAGGCCTATAAAGTCGGAGCATAGGTCTATAAAGCCTGAGCATAGGCCCGTAAAATCGCAGCATAGGCGGCCAAAGTCAGATGTGAAGGACATGGAAGACCTCCACCCGTTGGAGAAGGCTATTCTAGCCAGTTCGCGCCGACATTCGACCTCTGGAAACAATCACTTCAACGATACGTCAAAGAAAACGCCTTTTGAGCAGGCACGGTTTTATTCAACACAGCGGACGATCGGGGACGAAGCACCGGTGATCAAGTCACTGTTTAATATCGAATCGGAACAGGCACTTGAGCAGAGTCTAAGATTTGATGTTCATCAGAAATCCAGTATTCTATCTCTACTAGAAGCTCGGCTTGATCATCCATCTGTCATCTCTACTTCAGATGAAGGGCGATCCTTCTCAAAGTCTTTCCTTCGATTATCCCAGCTTGCGTGCCAAGGCCTCTATCCATCTGAAACCTGGGGGTTTCGTCTCGCGGTTCACACGAAGGCATGTGAGCTTGGCATGAATAATATTACTGGATTGCCAAACGACGTATGGCGGCTAGTTGAAGAAATGTGCCTTCATGGCATCCTTTTCACGCGGCAGCAGTGTCTGCAGCTTTTGACGTGCATTTACAGCTCGGATATCGGGGGATTAGATGAACAAACTAAATTAGCCCTGCGACTCTTGAAAACGGTTCAGCAACGCGGGCAGCCAGTCCTCGCTAGTGATATTATTGTCACTATTATCGAAGCAGCAGCTCGATCTTATAAACGATCCGCGTCTCGAGATTACGTACAACTCATGGAGCGACTGGAAAACGTTTTAGTGCAAGCGGATTTATCCCAACTAGAGGAACCGCAGATCATGAGACTCATGAAAGTATACATCGAAATAGGTGATTGGAAAAGATTTCGGAACGTATGGGGCATACCTGCGAGGAACCTACGCCCGCGCTCGGCAGCTATGTATATCCATGCCTATGATCTGGCATCCGCTACGGGTTCACATTCGGTTTGTAGAGCGATGCTAAGATGGTGCTTTCAGGAGATGCTCTCAGAGGACCCTCCTGTGCTACCTCGTGGTATAGTGCTAGAGGCCATTAAGAGGTGCATTGATATAGCCGACAGAACTGCCCAGGAGATCTTCACGTCCATACTGAAAAATCCCCACTCCCACGAAACTCGAAGAGGAAAAGAATTTGTCAGGCTTTTGAATAGCATTCATTTGATAAATCTAACCGGTGGACGATAAGCTTAACGATGGGTCATGCACAATCTTGGCGTCGACATCGGCATATGAGCCTACAAGTTACCTCGTCTCCACGGTTATTTTTGAAGCTGTCTGCAAAGATTTGCGAGGAAATCAATGTATATTCCATGTAAAATAGTTGAATATATTAAGCCTATGACCTCTCTTGCTTTCGCACGAGGTCGTATAGGTGATTCGCTTTCACTCTCTGGTTCGATTCTCCAGCTGGGTCAATCCTAACAACCTTCCCTTTCCGGAAACCCCGGCCTCCATTGTATATCCGCTGAATCGAAAGCATGGATGTGGGCAAGCTGGCGCGTTACGTTAGATCAAACCGTATACCCGGGCTTCTATAGGTAGGTACCTACCTAGACTCTATAATCCTGCTTCGCTAAACATGACGATAATAATAAGTAACTAACCTACCATCAACACGGACCCAACCCAAGTATATATGTAATTGCCAACTGCAACATATAAGTCTATGCCAAGATCAACTACCGAGATATCCCAAGTCTGTTTTTCCTCAAGAGGTCCTTAACCGATTTGCGGGAGGATTAGAACTTTAGATCCGCACCTCACCGAAGTCCAATCAAGGCAGGTCACAGGCAGCGGGTCTGGACTAAAAGGGCAAGCTCTCTGGCATGGGCCAACCACTATCGCGGAGAGCATCCTCGGCAATGCCAAGGAGTACCGGTTCCTGGCCAACGTGTCTTGCTTGATTGGATGCGCCCCGAGATAAGGATATCCGTGGCTACGATCCCGGCTCGATGCTACCCCGAATCTACCTACGACGGCAGCTGAGTGGCGATCAGGACAACCACCTTCTGTAAACTTGGTGTCGTTCGACGCTAGATTCGCGTCCGGCTGCTGGATGTATGCTATGTCTCCGTTATCTCGCCTTAGATTAAGGGCTTAGAGAGAGTCTGGGAAGGCAATTGGTTTGCTTGGTGGTGTGGGTTTTGATAAATCAAGTTGATACCCCGGTGTATATACACACGTGTAAATAAGTGAAGATATGAGGTTGGACTAGGTAGGGAAGGTACTTATATAGGTATATAATATCTTCATACCATATCTTGGCGTCCTAGTCTCTCGTCGTTGTCTTTCCCGTTACCATAGCATTCCTAAACAGTAAGAAGGAAATCATCCACCATGACGCGCATCGCATCTCTCGCCCTCCTATCCGTCGCCGCCCTCCCCGGCGCCATGGCCTGGGGCGCCATGGGCCACGAGACAGTCGCCTACGTCGCGAGCAACTACGTCAGCGCATCCACCAAATCCTTCTTCCAGGACCTGCTGGGCGACACTTCGGCGGACTACCTAGCCGGCGTGGCCGCCTGGGCCGACAGCTACCGGTACACGAGCGCGGGCAAGTTCTCGGCGTCGTTCCACTACATCGACGCCAATGATGACCCGCCGTCTAGCTGTGGCGTCGATCTGGACCGCGACTGCGGCGCCGAGGGCTGCATCGTGCGCGCCCTCCAGAATTACACGACTATTCTGATCGGCCAGAAGGCGAGCAATGCTAATCTGCAGATTGCAGCCAAGGTAAGGACATCTACTACTTCGTACTCTACTTGGAATATCCTGCTCGGATGGGTATACTGGAGTACATAGATAAATCCGTATTAACGAGCGCAACTATAGATGATCATCCACGTAAGAAATCACCAAGGGGACGTCAGACAAAATAACGTACCGAGACGGAAGAATTAACATGACATGACAGTTCGTCGGCGACATAGGACAACCTTTACATTGCGAGGCTTTAGAAATCGGCGGTAACGACATCGACGTGCAATACGACGGCGACGACACAAACCTGCACGCGGCTTGGGACAGCAACATCCCCGAGTCCATTTCCGGCGGGTCCTCGCAGTCGTCCGCGAAGTCGTGGGCCTCGGACCTGATAAAGGGTAACGTACCTATCTCTTGAACTATATTCGTTCATCTTTTCTTTAGTTCCCCTATTCCCTATAAAAAAATATAAAAAAAACAACTACAGCGCTCTAACAACAAACCCCAGAAATCAACTCCGGCTCCTACAAATCCCAAGCAGCAAGCTGGGTCAGCGGCCTCAGCGTCGCTTCGGCAGACAAGCAGACGTCGACGGCGCTAAAATGGGCCACGGAGAGCAACGCATACGTGTGCTCGACGGTACTACCAGACGGCATAAGCGCGGTCGAGAATAAGGACCTAAGCGGGCAGTACACGACGACCGCGCAGCCGGTTGTCGACCTGCAGATAGCGAAGCAGGGGTACCGGCTCGCGAAGTGGCTGGACGCTATCGTCGCTGCAATTTGATAAGTTTGTCATACTACCTAGAGGCATTGACGTAGATTACGATGATCGGAGTTATGGTAAGGACCAAAAGATAGTAAAAGAAATGAGATTCTAAGTGTAGGTATCTATCTATCTATTGAATGCTGATGCTACCTGACTCGTCCTCGTTGATCTACGCGATGCATGTCTTTTCGAGACCTCTACTCTAATATGCTATTCTCCTCTATTCCCCTATTCCTTCTTGACTCCCTTTAACGCCTCTCTCAGCATAGGCGCGATCTGCTTACGACTATGCTCGACTCTCGCCTGCGCCCAGCATCGTCGCCAATTGCCCTTATCCTCTAAATCAAGATTTCCATCTTCCCACGTACCAAGGCCCAACTTATTCTTCCCATCCTTCTCCGCAAACGCCTTTACAGCATTTACAACCCCCAACCCACCCCGCGCCCAGACCAGCAACTCCCGCCTAAACTCCCCATCGTCCTTCGCCGTAGTAAGCACCACCATAACGTCGACGTTTTTCTCCTCACACCACTTCTCTAACTCTCTAGAAAACGCCTCCTCGCCCCCGGCCTTGCGCACCAGAAATGCGAAGGCCTGCGGCACCGACGACGTACCTAGTTTCAGGCGGTCCTCGTCCCACTCCTTATAATCCTTGCGGAATATATCACGGAACGACATGTACGAGACGTCCTCCTTAAGGGCCGCAACCTCGGCAAAGAACGCGTCGCGGTCGTATCCGCTCCCGGCAGCACTACCACTACTCTCGAAGCCGGCACGGAGGTGGGATTCGGCAGTTGCTACAGCGCGCTCGTCATGAGCCGTCGTTTTATCCTTGTTGCCGAGGTTCGTGGTGTCGATGAGGATGGGCGCGAGGGCTAGATACGCAAGTTGCGCATTAATCTGTGCAGCTTCCTTGTCGCTGCCGCCGTCCCGCTTCGCCAACGCCTCCCATGCCTCGCTACATTGTTCCACGACCAGGCTCATGCAGCTACCGCACTTTTCAATGACGCGGGGCTCGGCATTAGCGGGGACCTTGCCTTCGTCATCGTGATGGTCGATACATCCGACGACTCTGCTGCCATAAGTCTGGCCTAGCGGGCCTGTCATGACATTGTGGTCGACGAGCAGCCAGCGCGTGTCCTCGGGCTTCAGACCATTTTCTCCGCCGGGCAGCTCAGTCAACGTCAACACGTCGTCGGGGGTGACGGCGGCATGTTTCAGCACAGCGGTAAATTCCGGCCGTAGCGAGAGGTCATCACGGGGTAAATGGCATAGAGGGATGTGCAAGGTATGCGGTGGTGAGTGAGTCCTGAGATAGGCCAGGAACAGCGTAGAGCATAGGGAGTCGAGATCTAGTTACATTTCGTATTGGCTTCTATGTAGGTTCGAAGACAGATAGAAAAATAGAAGAATAGATATTGACATGGAGGTATAAATAAGAATACGTACCAGCTGATTCATTACCCACAACAAAGTTCAACGGAGTCGAGCGTTTAGATGGCGGGGCCGTTAACGCGGCTCGGGCTGTGGCTAGGAAAGCCTGCAGCGTTTTTTGTGACGGCATTCTCGAGAGTTTACTTCATGTGCCATCCATAAAGGTTGGTTACACTCAAATACTCTTCTATGAATGGTGTACTTATATGTCAGGTGAGGTAGTGTTTGTACATGTATGTTTATATGCAAGAGTACAACGTCATATGTATTTGTTTCTCTTCCCGCCCCCGCAGTTTTTTCTCCTATCGGTGGTGTAACAATATCTTGCATTAGCTCCCGATACGTTAATATAATTATACCCAGTACTATAGTACTTACACTTACATAGGTATATCAATTTAAACATGCGCACTATATCATCAAGATATAAGTTAAAAAGGTCGAATAGGTATCTATTCCATTTTGCTCCAAACAATACTTGCTACATAAGCACATAGCCTTGTCGTGTTTCCAGGGTCTTTGAGCCGTAATTACGCCCGTAATTTAATCTACCTAAGGTTATCCTGCCTTAGTCGAAGCCATACCTAGAACGCCCACCTGTAGTAATATCTAGCACTTTTAGTGGAACACAAAGATGACCCCCGACCTATCTACGCTAATAGTCATCGTGTAAGGCATTTCCAATACCGCCACGTCCAGGATCGAATCTAAATGGCTTCTAAGCAGCTGTCCCTGCTCGGCCGATATGACCGCGTGCCTGGGTGGCTTTTCTCTGCTGCTCGTGGCCTTGCTACTCTTGCCACCTTTCTGGTCTGCACCCGTCGCATTACCTCCCTTTGGTAGCCTTTCCACGTTAAGAGTAAGCCCAGGCTGGTTCGGCGTGCTGACCGTGGTGAAAACCGGTCTGGCATCTTCGCTATGAAGTCCGCTGAACACGCATGAATTCTCGACGCGCATTAGGTCCCAAAAACGTAGTTTTTTGTCCGATCCGCCTGTCAGGATATATCCGTACCGTACTTCGCGCTGGTCTTCCATAGCACCCGAACCAGCAACCATGGCTCGGACGCCGCGATCCCCACTGCCGCTAGTGGTTGGCTCGATATTCGTTGCGAAACGGTCGAGCATACCTTCGGGTTTGTCTTCATCAACGTCCCATGGTTTGTATCCCTTAGGTCCATCTTTAGATGCGCCCGCCCGATAAATTTCCCTGCATTGTGTCTTCTCCAGATCCCAGACGGTAACTTCGCCAAGGCTAGTACCGCCTGCTACGCACACCCATTTCCCGCGACCTTTAGTCGGATGAAGACAAAGGCGGTGGATAGCTGATTTGCCTGGTAACCCCCAACCTTTTAGCCTCATCTTAAATCGTAAGTCCCACAAGTCCAAAACTCCGTGCGACGTGCCAAGTAGTAGCCAGTTACGCTTCCGATCGACACAGAAACAAGTGGGAGTGCCGTGGTGTACCGGATTTTCGAGAACGTACAAAAGTGTCATTGTACGAAGGTCAATACCCAAGACTCGAGACCGGTTGGTTGCAAGTACCAGCACGGAATTCAGCTCCTGCTTGAAGTGCTCACACCAGACAGCATACTCATCTGCTGGAAGCTGATACTCGCGAAGTAGCCGCAATCGGATATACTTAGTAGCTCCGCTGGTGATTGCCGTGTCGACCTTTACGATATGAACGCTGCCATCGCTCGCGCAACTGACGAACGTATGCGTGTTCTCGATGAAGCAGAGGGAAATGACCTTCGCGCCCGAGGCGTGCTTATGTGTCTGGCGTGAACGATGTGTGACATTGCGCTCCAACCTAGAGGAGTCCCACACCTTCACACAGCCATCATCACTACCTGTTATGAAAAAGAGATGGTCTGGCGATGGAAGAACACGGTTGATCGCCCCCGTATGTTCCGAGAAAGTAGCGACAAGACTACCGCTCGGCTTCCACGCCTCCTCGCCGCTTTGTCCCGCCGCTTTACTTACTTTTCTCCTCGTTATTGGAGAAACGAGTGGCCCAAATTGGGCTATATCGTGCGGGTAGTTATCGATATACATGTTATCGAGCATTTTTAGTATATTAGGGTCGTTGCCCTCGTATGTATGCGAAGCACGCGGTCGACCTCCTGGCATCCCATTCTCTGCGACGACACCAGGAATTATTATTTGTGGTGGCGGATTCTGTGCGAAGGGGCCCTCGACTTGACCAAATGCGTTCGCTTCAGTCGTTCCCGTCTCTGCGATAGATCTACCACTATCTTTTCGATTTAAAAGATCCAGAGCACTTGACTGGTGCCGAATGGCTCTCCTGGTGGAGTATGGAGAATCAGAGATAGAGGCATCATCATCCTGAGAAGTCGGCCCACGTGTTGTAGAGGAAGCACGACGCGACTCGTTAAAACCTGTGCCGTTAACTGGGGAAGACGCCCGAGACTCCATTGGCGATAACGCTCGGCCATCTTTCGTCCTTGGCGATATTGCTCCTCCGCGACTGCTTAGATGTGAACGATGATTATTCATGGCAGCACGACGCCGCTTCCCGACGGGCTCGTCTATTGTCATTGACGCATCGAGCAGCGCATCGGCAATAGTATAAGGTCCTTTATCCGAGGCTGAAATTCGTTGCCGCTGCCATGCGAGCTCCTCTTCGGCAGGAGCTTCGTCGAACATGATCGTCTGCAATTTGACATTTAGACTTCTCAAAGGAATAATATTGTTCAAGGATGTGGTGATGTTATCTTGTGCAAGCAAATCGCGGTTCCTCATTTGACTCAAGCGCCAGATAAATTCCCTAAGAACAAGCAGCTTGAATTCATCTTCAGATGTCATCCCCATGTTCCGTAGTCGGGTAAGCCATTGTTCATCTTCGTCATTCCGTTGAACTTTGTTAAGTGTTTGCGGCTGTACCTCCCGAGACGAACGGATTGCCAATGCCGTAGACGCAATAGTAAATGTAGACTGCTTCTGTTGTTTGACAGCTTTCCAAAACAGCCCTTTATCAGTTTTCTGTGCCCAGGACAATGCCAAGTCGAAGACCGTCCTCGATAGGGGTTTCTTCAAAGCGTCTAACAATTCAAGCTCAGAAAAGTCCGGGATTATTGCTGGCTTTAGGAATGGCCTAACAAGAGGTAGGACAATGCATCTGATATCAGCGGGAGACAGCAGCTTTGCGGCACTGGAAATGTACTCTGCAGCAGACTCTCGGATCCACAGATTCGGATGCATTGTGAAGCGGCCAACCATGTCTATAAGCTCCCAAGTTTTTGCTTTTGATAACAGCCCTAAACTTGCAAGCTCGGCCAAAGAGTGTAACGCGGCCTGCACCACATGCTCTTCCGGATCGGTCACAGCCTGTATCATCAGAGGAAGGCTGAATTCTTCCAGGCTAGTGCTACCTAAGAAAGCAGCAATACCTACGATCGTATCGAAGAAAGCACACTTCAGCATCCAGTCTCGGTCGTTGAGATACGTATTAAGATGAGTGAGGATGATATCGTTAGACTCCGCACTGCCGAAAAACATGCATAGTTCTGGGACGGAACTGAGAAACGCCCGGCGCACAGAGGCGTCCGAGTCTTCGACTAGAGCTTTGGCATGAGTCTCGAATAGTTCAACAAGCTCGCTTTGCGCGTTATCAAAAAGTCCATCAAATGCAGCATCAGGGTCGCTGCCAGCTTCGACTTCCGGAT